CAGGATATCCAGGGCTCGGCACGAGGTGGCTAGTCGAAAATGCAAAAAACGAAGTCCCCCTTGAATTTTGCGAATTTTTACGAAGTCCCCTTTGATCCCAGACCATAATCCCTAAAAAACTCCCAAAAATGAAACGTTGATTAAGAAGAATATTTTTTTTATTTTTTTTTAAATTTTGGTCACTTCGGCCACAAAAACAAAACCGCCTTTGCTTTTTGTCCCAATATCCATCTTGCTTGTAAGCCACCTCTGCCGAGCTCTGAGGATATCATAAGTTTGAGTATATGCGTTACTACTAAATATCAGTGGGTTACTGCTCCCTAGTGGGGTAGCACATACTTTTAGAAAAATTCGGTTAAATCAAGCAAAACTGATAAAACGTTAGCGAAACTTGCATGGCACGTTTTCCTAGTGATTGACTGTTACTATTAGACTTTACTTTAGCTTTGTTACACTTAATGGAGAAACTTCATAGTTTTCGTATTTTTTCTTAACTTCAAAATTGCGGAGGAAAGTGTTTTTTAACATGTGCATGTCTTCAATAGCACTAATGCTTCCTAGTATTTTTGGAAAAATTCCATTAATGAATAGCTTGGGCCTCCGAAACACATTTGTACTACTACTAATGATCCTGGTTGTCCAAATAGAGAACTGAAAATCAAGAACGAATTATTGAGAAATAATGGAGGTTAAAGTGTCATCAGAGGATTGCCTCTACATTTACTGTAACTCATGTTGAAAGTATGCCAGTGGACAGCCTTACATCCCTTCCCCATGTATGCCAAATAAGAGACTTTACCAAATTCTGGTTTTTCAGAGAAAGGCGAAGACAGTGCAACGACAATTATGAATAATAGGATCGCTGTTACTTCCTTCGAATTCTTCTTCTTCTTCAAAAAAAAAGATACACTCTGTTCAACAGTCATTGCAGCGTCACTTACTGAAATAACTGTATTTATTCATTACGTAGCGACCTACCTATCTCTACAGCTTCGAAATCGCATTGCTTGAAGAATTTACCTTAATCGTTCACGAATGGCGTCGGAATATGGCAAGTTACAGCCATGTTATGGTGAAAGTCTAATTTTTCCGATCTCCTAAAACGCGTTTTTCTTCAAAAGTGATGATGAAGGTTTTCAATGAAAGAATATCTTTACCTTTCAAGCACTTTTGAAATTTGAAGAAAATTTGAAAAATAAGCATGAAAATGCTGTAAATGATGCAGCATGACAAGTTTGGAAAGCAAAATGGCGTTACATATGGACCTAGTGAGATTGATTTCTACGTAGATCAAAAAATTTGTCGATAAAGGTCAGAAGCATTGAGCTTTTGGCGGAGATGGTTTTCTTATGCTTCGTTTACATTTTTTAGCGTCAAAATGGGCAGCGATGCTTGATGCAGTTTATTTTTTTCCTTTTCAAAAATCTGTATCTTACTTGAGGGCTGATGTGCTGGACTTTTCCGTCAACTTTTTTGTTAACTTTAGGATGTTCAGACAGCCATCCTATTCAATAATTTTTAACAGTTATAGTATTAGCACCCGAAATATATGAAGCACTTCCTATTTTGGAGTGCTAATGTTGATTCATATGGACACTCTCATAATTGGGCTTCTTCAAGCACTTTCTTCAGGTAGCAATTCAAGCGAAAGCGATGTTTAATTAGCAATGTTGAACTAATCGCCGCCTTTCACGACAATTAATAGCTTTCCTGCTATAGGTGAGGATACTTGGCAACATTTATGGATGTTTCAAGGACAGAGAAAATCGTCTGGTCACTAATTCTTATATTCATGGGCATAATAAATTCCCATGTGCAGAGCACGCTTGAAACTTTTCATATACATTCTCTTATTAATGATCGTAAATCTACGCAAAAAAACAATTACATTGGTTTTAATTGCTTTGTTTTGTATGCCAAAGAAAAACGAAGAATTAAAACAACAAATGGATCGGATTCCCAGTATTTATTCTACCACGCTGCGAACACATTAGAAAATATTTTAAGCAGATGATGAGTAAAATAAACGGATTTTCATATGTTTAATCTCAATGACCACTTAAATGTTAAACGCTTGAGCTTTCAGCATTGTCGAAAATAAAAAATCGAAAAAAATTGAAAAAATGAAAATAAAAAATCTTGAGATTGTTTTTTTTGACTAAGTGTACTTTCGTTCAACTTCGCAAGCCGCAAGCATCCGTATTTTATTTTATCTTTTCTTGAGGCTAAGAACTGGCTGGTTTCATTTGTTTGGACTTTTTTAAATTTATTTTTGCTTTTTGGTGCATTTCGAATGTCTTTATGAAATAAAATAAAATTAAAGCATATAATCACATTGGTATTTCCACAGTTACTGAGTTGTCTCTAACCTTGACAACAAAACTCTTTACTGCAAAAGCTTGTATAGAAAAACTTAGCTACTTTTGGAACTATTCAGAGTTTTGTGAACAGTTCTAAAAGTAGCTGCTATTGCAGCTAAAAGACGATGACCTTTTGTAAAAATCACCTTCACTGCTGAATCACCGGGAAAGAGAACAAAAGTTGTTACCAGGCCTAGCTCGTCGTAAGCGAGAGCGTAAAAACATTTGTAAATGTCATTTCATCTTACAGTTAGAGTGAGAAAGTAGTAGAGAAATAAAAGAGCCTAAACGATTGTTGGATTCGAGTGCTGTAAAGGAGTTATGGATATAAATAGTTATCCTATTTTATGCCTAAGAAAAAGTAAAGAAGTTGCTGTTCTGGAAATCTTTCAAAAGTTTAGCTTAACGTTTTTGCAAGGCTCAAGAGGATAGCCTCATGAATTCGATCTTCGAATTCTACGCGCATTCTTCCACAAAAACCCAGCATAATCCACAACATCCTAAAAGCTGCTGGCATTTAATGAGTTCCAAGAAAAAAAATTACATTCAGGGATCGTAAGCGGATCCTGTTGTCTAATGTTAGCCTCTAAGCAATGTTTCCCCTCAATTCTCATATCAAAGTTGTTAAAGCAAGAATCTAAACGTAGATTCTATCGTCTTCGCTTTGAAAGATGTGATTGTCAAGAAAACCAGACTCAAGCGACTTGGACGAGTTTGTGGCCAAATTGGAACATCCACAATATTGCTAGAGTGTGATTTAATTGGAAAGGAAAGTTAAATGTGATGGATTTACAATCAGAAGAAGAAAGATGAGGTTGCGCTGTTTTTTGAGCGAAAAAAGCTCGAAACTGGTCTAATTTACAACTGTATAGTTTCGAAACCACTAACTGAATTGGATGGGAATGTCCTGAAGACAAAAATTCTGGCAAGAATGTGGCATGTGAAAATCAGACTCGACGATGCTGCGAAAGCGATTCCCTCGGGATGGAAAACTTGAAACCCAGCAGAGTTGCCTGACTGATGACCGCAGCATCCATATCCGCCGAAGTGGCTAATAATTTTTTGGTTATTATTTTGATCTTTGTTCCCTGCAGGACCTTCTTGAGCTAGAAGTTTATTGGTATTTTTGTATCCTTATGCCTTGCCACTATAGCATCTTTCCAAAAAAAGTCGAAACTTCTTTGCATCTAGGCGGAATTCCTTGAAAAACTTCCTTCTAAGAAAATCCATATGCAAAGCAGTACCTTAAAACTGAATAGTAAGAAAATGAAGAGTGATAAGAAAAGCGAGAGTGAGGAAAACCTCACTTTAGGTTGACCTTTTTCAAAGCAACGTGACAAACACAAGTCGCAAGCTAAGGAAATGATAGTAGATATTTTTATGAAGCTGTTTTAAGTTATGTCAAACCCGAAGCTTGTTTAGACTATGTCCTTTTATCAAATTCCCATCCTAAAAAATTTTCTAAATTTTGCTCGAATCGTTTTACTCATACTAATTCAAATCAAATGTACCTTGAGAGGCTTGTATTCAGCTTTCGAACAAAGCTACTAAGTAAATCACCGAGATACAAAACTGGTATGAAAAGGTACGAACGAACTTCTGGACCAAATACAGTGAGCTCTCCCCACATCTACTGCATCGAAAACGTAAATTCAAACCACATCTTAGCCATTTTCAATTGATAAAAGCCGTTAGTCATCAAAAATGACTTACCGTAACGTTGGCCCAATAAAATAATAATCTATCATCCTTAAGCAACTCTTCAACTAGCTAGAATTTTTCGAAGTTTCTTGCCCATTTTTCAAGGTAATTTTGGTTATTCCTGCTTCATCGCTGCTCGTGTCTCAAATACATTCATACATTAGCCAGCGAAATTGCAGTGTTTTACAGTACAGAACGGTCCTGCAGAGTGAAAGTACAGCTTGAATCAGGCAATGTTGTATCCTTAAGAGTTCTTCTTAGCCATAAGCTTTCGCCCTTCACTAGCCGAGGCCGATGACGCAACATTTCTTGAACGGAACGAAATGTGGGCGTGTCAGTACAGTAACACGTTTTGATCAAGGGGCTCGCTGGTCGAAGACGCTCTAGAAAGCCTATAGCTTGTCCTCAGTGCTTAAAAATGTTTTTCCACAATTTTTATTTTTTTTCACGCTTGCACTGGCTGCGCTACTTTACTCCTCTCTCGTTCAAATTTAGGCTTGATTCTTAGCTCTGGAAGGGCGGCTAGTCACTAAATTAACCTCCAGCCTTGCCATATCATCTCTGATCGATTCAAAAAACATCTTCCCACATCGGAATCGTTTGAAGTGGAACGACAACGTCCAGATATGAGCTGCACAGCCGTTTGACACGAATTCGGCGAGTCTTCAAGCAGCAACGTTTTTGCCGTTCGCCTCTTCTCATCGCCCTGTTTCGACCACTTGACGGAAGCTTGTCCACTCCGAGCTTGAAGTTCTCACATTCCTACCAATTGCACCTCCTTTAGGTCTTCTTTGTGCTTGTCGGCATTCTTATAGTTCCTCAGGTGATTAATCTCCATTAGCTTTTGATAGTTCATCTACACTAGTAAGAGTGCTTCGTCTTTTGCGCGACTGAATTGGTGCCATTCGAATTCAAATCCTGCTCATTCGGATTTTAGACATGGCGCTATTTTATTTCATTCTGGCGCTGAAGATATCTTTTATATTCTGTGGTGATCCACCGAATATTTATCGATGGATGGCTGACAATGCGTACATCTGTAAGTTTTTTCTTATTTCGTTCCCTCTTTTTGCTCTTAAGAATTTTCATTTTTACTTTGCCGAAATTGCGCTTTGAATTTCGCTCAATTCATTTTTTGCTTTTTGTGTCATCCGTATCAGCCATAAAAGTTTACACAACGATAATAAAAATTGAGGTCGCGCAATCCCCCTCACTCTCACTCCTCATTTCGCTACATTTTGCGCAGCTGAATTCCATTCCATTTTTTGTGGCAAACAAACTTTGATTTTGACGGCTTTATGAAAATTTCTTATTGTCGCATCGTCAGGTGGTCCCAGTCGAGAAATTGATGGGTCTATAATAACATTTCTAAATGAAGATGAAGGTCTGGCTTGTACAGCGTGTGGTACGGTATGTTCATTTTTGTATTATAATTTCAACGATTTATTGCAAATTTAAGAAAATTGCTATTATTTTTGGTTCGTACTCCTTTAGGCATTAATTGAATAGGTGTATTTTATAATTTGTGAAAATATTTAACTTTCATGTGTTGTCAAATAAGCTTTCTGTGTGAAAGAGATCAAAGACATTATAGCTATAGTAGGGTCAATTATTATGAGATTACACATCTTACGCAGCATCCGTCAACTTACAAATAAACGACGTAAAATTGGTCTGCTCGAACAAGATTACAAATACTTGAAAATTGTTGAAATTATCAAAAAATAGTATAAACGATTGCAAAGCTATTAAAAATAAATTATTTTTGCCTGTTGATTTGATTGTTCAGCCACGACGACATTGGTAGTTATTTATCTGAGCTAAACAGTCGAAATCAAATCAGTCAATCATTTGGGCTATTCAATCATATTGCCGTGGCTAATAAAATCTATACAGTATTCATCATGGCAAGATTTACAGAAAGTCAAAATTCCGATTATTTTCGCTTCATTCACCTTCTTTTACTTATATAGAGTTGTCTGTTGATGATTAATGCATAGGACATTTTACGTAATAGGTGAAAAAATGAAATGAAAGAAAAATGAAAACAAAAGAGCTCCAGTATTTGACAATTTGCATGCGTGTATGTCGTAAAATATCGTGTTTGTTGTGCAATATGCACACTGAGTTACTATTTATTCCGATTTATTTCTAATAATAACTACATCCATCTGGTTCCTTTCTTTCTCATTGAAATCGCTCATTTTCACAGAAAAGACGAAAACCTCCGACGGAGGCGTGTGGAGTGCGCACGAAAGGAAGAGGAAATAACGAAGAGCCTCGAATAGGCTGTTTTCCAAGTGAGTGAAGTTATTCGATCCATGACACCTAGATGATTTACACCCCTTAGAATTCGGAATTTTTACGGCGTACAATTCACGTGAAAAGTTGCATATTTATGTGAAAATTGTCGAATTCTAGTTCCACAGCTTTGCCTGGATGACTACACGCTGCGTTATGCAAACGCGTTCCCGGAGGAACTCGAAAGGGCGAAGGCGAGGGCCGAGAATCGGCTGTTCTCACAAGAACGAGGAGGAGGTGGTGGAGCTGGATTCATGGAGCCCGGAAGTGAAACACGTTTCCACGGCCTTGACATGAACCGTTTGAGTAAAAGCCGTCCGAATATAGCTCAAGAGAATCGTGTGGATAACGAACTGGTAACGCTTCCACCGCTTACAACAACGGCAACGACCATCGTCAATCCACTTATCAGCCGAGATGAGGAGGCGAATCAAGTCTCTCCACCTTTCGCTACTGCTTCTTCCAATTCCAGCACGAAAGACTTCAAACCAGACTTTCAAGATATCACTGCGGAAACCACATCCAGCACTACTCTGCCCGAATCAACAAACCAAGTCTCAGCCCTAGGCACACGAACCACACGAACCACACCTACACTACCCCTTACCGTACCCATACTGCTGCCAATGGATCATAATGATAAAGCCCATGATGCTCCGACGCTAACAGGTTCAACAACAAATGAGGAACTGGTCGTTGTGAAAGCTTCTATTCGAGCTGAAGATGAAAAAGGAGAGACCGAGTCTGTCCCTGAGGAGTTGAACGAAGAAGATGAAGAAGAAGAAGTACGCGATATTCCAGTGCAAAAACGTAAGGGTCATCATTTCTTTGGAACGACAACGGTTCCTACCACGACGACTACGATTCCTACCACGACAACACCAAAACCGTGTAAAGACAAGCACAAGGTAAATTTTGCTGTTTTAAGTTGGATAAAAGGTTTTGAATGGCGAAATTTAGCTCTGCTGTTTTTGGGCAGTTGCCGGCGAATGCGAAACGAATCCATTCTGGATGCGTATACAGTGTGCAAAAACATGTGGAACGTGTAATTGCCCACGTAAGTTGTAAAATTTGCTTTTTCTGTCATCTCAGAAAAATTGCCAACAATGATCAGTGCACTTTTACACCTTTCTGAGGGAAATGGCCGTTTTGCACGACAGTAGACCATGGTCGCTTGCCGCAACACGTCCCTTACGCAAAGTTGACGCAATTTCTTCCTATATAAAGCTTTTTCATTCTTTTCCAATATAACTTCAGCTTACACCACTCCCTGCTAATCCTTCTTATACATCTTCATATATGTAACGATCAGTCAAGCGCCGCAGGATGTGTCGCGCGCGACTGCGGTCCTGCAGTGAAACTTCCTCATCGGGTTACGGTCGTGCAAAACGGCCGACTCCCTAGTAAAATTCGACAAATTAATTAATTTCGAGATTTTTGATTTTGCTTAGTACGAACTGCGGATAAATGTGTTTCGACCGGTATTAACTGTACTTTACCAACCACGACTACTCGACTGACCACAACTACTACCCTACCATCAACGTCATTACGTCCACATAGCAAGATCACACTCCTTACTGCGAAGACTTCGCCACCTACCGTAATCGTATCTTGTCTTGATCTACCCTTTTAAGGTACCGTAGCTCCTACCACTTTCAGAAGAGGCGTCGAACTAGGCCGTTTACTACACCGTTGAATGGGTTCAGAAGAACACAGAGTACACCGCGACGATCGACAACGACCACGACTACAACGGTACCGACAACATCCGCTGTAAAGAGTTTTACCTCTTATTACAGTAATAAGACGTCGTATAGAAATGTAAGAATAAGAATTGCCTAGAATAGTAGTCGATTCATATATCGATTACTTGATCTGTAAGGAAAAGTTCGTTACTAGTGACTGATTTGTTGGCAAAGCTGATGTCAATAGAGCACGTTTTCTTACAGACAACCACGCCCACACCGACGACGTCAACGACGAGCACCACCACGACAACCACCACCACTACGACAACTACCACTACCACAGAAGATCCGTGCCAAGATCTTGACCGTCACTGCGCTTTCTGGGCAACGCTAGGAGAATGCGAATTGTGAGTCACATTCGAATTCAATCGATACTTATTTGATGTATTAGCAAATTCAAATTTTCCCCCAAAAGTATCAGGGTATTTTACCGATTTTACAAAAACTATAGTCTTACTGTTTTATTCATTGAGCGCAGCTTGAGTTACCAGACGATAGAGCAAAGCAAGATCTACAAAATGGTCAAAAATACTTGATTATCGTATTTTCTCTCTTAGAAATGCAGAAAAATTGATTGGAGTGAATTGGCAAACTCCGCCCCCTAATGGTCCTAGGTTCTTCCTATACATGTGATATATTCTATGCACTGAGAAGTACGACCATGCATTTGTACTGTTGTAGGTGCTCCCCTTGTCAAGATATAGTGGTTTTAATGTTGAAATTAAAAACAATTATGGGGCAGCCTAAAAGTAGTTAGAAATATTCTCGATGAAAAAATCGTATTCCACAAATTTTGACGTCATTTGAGCTTCGAACGCATATGCGCTTTTTGTCAGAATTCCCACTGTGCTTTGCAGTGAAATTATTATTCATCTGGACCCCCCCCCCCCCACCCCTTCACGCAAAAAAAAAAACAGGACACGTTCCGAATAATGAGGTGGTATCTGTACAATGCAAAGGCTGTCTTTAGGTGCCTTTTTCGTAAGCAAAATGGATCGTATGAGGGAGTAAGGGAAGGGACGCCTATTTGAGACTTTTCTTCAAATAGCTTATGTATTGCCTCTTCTAGTAGATTTCCATACTAATTTGAAAGAAAGATTTCCCTTGATTGTCATATGTGAGCAAACCTAAGCAAAATATTTTTTCCTCAAAATTTGACTTGAATTTCTGCAAATCGCGTACCTAAAAAAGGTTCAAAATCGTCCAGATGTTTCTAAAGTATAGTAAAATGCACCATTTGAGTACAAAATGGCGGAGTTCTTCAAAAATTTCTCCCAGATTGAGAGATCCCGACAAGAGATTGTCGCACCAACTAGAGTAGATTTTGTCTCTTTACAAATTTTCTTTGAGTTTTTTCCGTTCTCCAAAAATTCTAATTTTGGCCTACATATTCTCAAAATTCTAGTTTTGGCCTACTTATGCTTAACTTCTCCCCAATTAACTTCTTTTACAGAAATCCATTCTGGATGCGACCACACTGTCAACGATCATGCCATTCTTGTGGAGAAGAAGTAGACACCGTATTTGCACCTACTCCAAGAAAAGGTAAACTGTAGCGACTGCTTTACTAGATCTTATAGCTGATGTAGTGTTTTGCTCGCCCGCAACATTTGCGCGTAAGTCTGCGCTTACAGTTGCCCGTGCCAGCGCCGTGTTAGCGGTGATCGATCAATACAAACTGCGTCCAGTCCCGACGCGGCACTAGAACCGCGTCAGAACGGCGCTGGCAACTCTGAACGCTTTTTTGAAATTGGCAATAGAATGTAGAGTGCGAAATTGTGCGCTCTATGATATTTATTTTGCGCGCAAGCAAAATTAACAGCGCAGAGGTTTTTTTAAGCGTCTAAACTACTATACTTAACGCAACTCAAGTTGATAATTCAGGTTGTGAGAACAGTCACAAGTTCTGCAATTTTTGGGCAGCAACTGGAGAGTGCGACGTGAATCCAAACTACATGGTCCCGTATTGCCCCCTATCGTGTATGATTTGCTGACTGCTGTGCTGTTGGCCCTTTCCTTACCTACTGTTCTCAATCTAAGTGCTTTCTTGATCCCCGCTGTGGCAATAAGTTCCGCGAAAGCCTTCTGGATGTGTTCTATTGTTAGAACGGATGTAGTTAGACATAATTTATTCACTTAAATGACGTCAACATTCCCCGTTCTATAGCTTGACTGCTTCTTGACTGCATTCTACAAAATTGGGTCGTGCAAGACGCATTGTCAAAGAATGAGTGAAGTTTCGTTTGTTTGTGCACATAATTTTTTGCTCTTTTGCTCCATTGCTCATGCCAATAAATCTCTACCACTAAGTTTGAGTATCCACAGTGCAAATACGGACTTTTTTCAACACATCGTTTTTATATGATGCCGTCTGTGGCGGTTTCGCATTTTCAAAGTTACGACTCACCGGTGTCTCATAAAATTCGAGATTGTAGTTTTTTTTTTTGAGATTCAGCACATCCAAGAGTTTCCTTGGAGAGCCATTGTAGGTACCGATTCCTGAAAAGGCATGTTTCTCAGCCTATACAGTAGAAAGCATAAGGTTATAGATCAAAATGCAAAGATTATTGTGTAATGCCTTAAGGTTTTTTTATGTGCCGATTGAACATGACATTAAATTTGCTTCATGAGAAGTTGATGTTGTATGGCATAATATGGTTATCATACGGTAGAGTTTTTTCGAAAATTAGATATATTGATAAAGTGAATGGATGGCTTTTTCAAGCCAGTTCGTTGCAGCCACGTTGAACCCTCAGAAATTTCTGCTTCAGAGAGTAAAAACAAAGAACAGTGAGATTGATAACATGAATTTTTGAAAATGTTAAAAAAACAGCTTATGTTAGAAGATAGTTTAGATTTGCTCAAAAAAGTACCGTTTTTATAGTAGAATTCTAAGCACACCACATCAACTTGAACTTTGCTCAGATCTTCAAGAAAATGGGAGAATTTCGGCAGCACCACCGTAAACTAGTGAATTTGAAAGTTCAAAAAACATGCAGCTCACAGCCTATCATTAGGTGCCATTGAAAAATAGGCTAAATTAGTAGGGCCTCGTAAGCAAGTCCCGCTTCTCTGCTATTTTAGTCGATGTTTTGCTAAATAGCTATTCTACCAAAGTGAAAAATTTTCTTCTTACTCTTTCTACAGAGAGTCGTCCTGGCAATCACGAAGAAACTAAGTAGTAAGAAGACTTTCAAATTTTTAGATTTTGTTCAAAGATTAGGTTGGTCCATAAGTTTTGCGCTAAAATTCTTTAAAAAAACGTAAGTTTCTGTAGTTCCAAAGAAATCATTCAGTTCAACATAGCTTAGAAAGAGAAAATCATGCACTTTTCACTATTGGTTGACAAAAATCCATGTTAGTTACGGTGACACAAGCATTAAGAGAAACCTCTAATTATGATTTCAAAACTTTGATCTCTAGAAATGCTAAAAGGATGAGAATAATTTGACTCTGAATTATGATTTCAAAACTTTGATCTCTAGAAATGCTAAAAGGATGAGAATAATTTGACTTTACCTTTGCCTACGGTTTTACGATCTAATCTTCCTAACCGAATAAAATTCGTGTGGTCTGGATGTAAAAAATACGATTTTCGACTTTTCAACTCAACATTTCGATTAAGTATTGGTGAAATCTCTAATATGCGTAAAATAGAGCAGTCATTGTAGGTTACAAAAACATATATATGAAATATGAATCTAAACGACCTTCAATTTTTTCTAAATGAATTTGCAGTATTTCTGATACAAGGCTCGTAAACTAAGCCATAACCTAGTAGGTTTGATAGCACCAAACTTGGAGACCCATGCAGGATGAGAGTAATTCTTCCCGTAAGCTGAGCACTTTTAGAACCCCTCAGTAATTTTTCTCAGATGATTAAGCTAACATTTGAATTTTTGATAGCAGTTATGGAGTTAACCCTACTAGGATCTGTTAAGTGCAATGATTGTAAGCTTTCATTCAATACAAATTGCACGAACAAAACGATGTTGACAAAACAAATTTATGGATCAAATGACCGTATTGTGACCAGATATCACGTAACGAAAGGATGAAGTGAACATAGGCAACAATTGAGCAAGATGGTTTTTGAGACATTAAACGGATTTGTTTATGTAAGAAAGGCTGTGCTCCGTTTGTTCTCATCGTAAAAAGTAAGCGCAGTGGATAGCGGTCTCGGCACGATTCGATCTCGATGTGCTAAAAATTTATGAACATTTCAAACTTGGTCTAACTTTTGTAAAATTGTACAACACCTCTTGTGAACGAACCATTGGGTGGAACGTTGTCATATCGGCTCATTTCAAGCAATGGACTTTCCCTGCTGTCGCTTGACCATTCTTCAACCGGACTCGATCGTGCGTACAATGGTTTTTCTCCCACCATACTTATTTCCTTGGTCTCTGCAAAATTTCTTACTAAGAATGAACATCAAATAAGAAAGATCACACCTGGATTTCCTTGCCGGAACATTACTCGTTTTTCGCGATGTTCAACACCCCCTCGTGAGCTTGGGCTACTACTCAAGCTGTTACCTGCACTTGCTTTTCTGAAAAAATAAACACAATCCAATGCATCTTTTGCATAACCATGATTACTCTATTTTTGAAATTCCATAACCTCAAATAATTCCAAAATTGTGAACTACCACTGATATAAATGCCGTAATCTGAAAAAAAAACTATAGCATCTTGCCCAGTCTTGAGAAAATGTTGTTCGCAGGAGTTCAGATAAAGTCGTCATAAACTTGCTATTAACTTTTCCTCACTTTTCAAAATAATTCTTCTAAATAAGTTAACCTTTTGTGACAGTTTTGTGCCATTTTGAAGGGTATGAAGCTGATCAGCATATTTTTAATTTGAAAATTCATATTGGCACCCATTCAGATCTGTGCCTTAGTATTAGGTTGGAAAAAAATAGAACGCTATATTCGGATTCTCACGCTAAAGTTGATACTTCTCAAGAAATAATTCAACTAAAGTCAAAATTTTATGGTTAAAGTTAGGTTAGAGTATACAACGGCATATCTGAGAAATCCCAGGCACAAGGGGCGCAGTTGGCCATTTTCCGTTTTTCAATTTTTTCTTGGTTCTTAAGCATGAAAAAAATATAAAGATTGTACTTATGGATAAGTCCATGCTTTCTGTTACAAACATGAGCAAGTGAGAGGTTCTTGGGACTTTTTGGGACGGGAATCCGATTTTTGGCATTAGAGCTGCTCTTATGTTTTGACTTTAAACTTGAATAAATCACGATTTCGTTGACTTTAAAAGCTCTTCAGAACTTCCTTTGCTCTATCGAATGGTACCCTTAACATAATCTTTTGGATCCGTCTTATTGTTCCATTATTAAAACGACATTCTCTTTGCAATCTGATACAAAGTAGGGCTTATTTCTGAAAACTGTGAATTTTTAAGCAAAGCTCGCAAGGGACCAGCGAGGCTTCAAAGAGTGTATTTATCAAATAACGTTCTTAGAAGTTGGAATTAATCAAACTTTGCGGGAGTCGGGATCAGCAAAAAAAAATGCGGTGGCCATTATATTGATGCAAGAACAGAATAACCTCAAAAATTTTCGCAACCACCTTACCAATTCTACGATTCACTCACAGTAAGTAATTGACACCTATAGTCTCTAGTTATAGTAAGCACTCAACATAGTTCTTATCAAAACCAAAGCTTTCCCTTCATTGAAAAAAAATATTGAAACTGCAAATTATTATACCTTGCGGACTGTGGCGTCAAGTAGGCTTTGTTCGCAAAGTAAATGTCTTCGGAGAGATGTGAAACCATAGAAGCGGTTACGGAGTCTTGCATTATCTGAAACTCTATGTTACTGGAAAATGCTGCAGAAGGAAAACTTGCAAAAGGTTTAAGTATTCATTGGCGTTGGTAGTTCTACGAATATTGAAAAAGTCTTCTCTGCTTTCTTATGATGATTAATACTGGTCAATCGCTTAGATGGGCAATGATGGTTGCCTAAGCACTCGCACAATGCCGGCACAGGACCCGCATGGCAGCTGTTCAGGGCATCCCGTGCCGACTCTGTTCTGGCACTGTGCCGGCACTCGTGCAACTATGAACATAGACTTACTAGAGATTTAGCAATGATCTCGGCAAAAGGTGAAAAGTCTTCTGAATGTACAAACCTGTGCACTTCTCGTGCTCGATCGATCGTCTCGAATCAACGAAGGACTAGCAATGCTGTCAGAGCATTGCCGCAGATGAACGATAGGTGATGTGGGCGGCCTGCTTCGCGAGAAGCGCAGGCTACGCGCTCGTTGGCGCAGCAAACGAATCCCGCCACGAAGCTCATCAACTCCTCGGGACATCATCGACATGATCGAGTCCGACCGAGTGCTTTGCAATGAAGCCTCTACCGAATGAGATCTGAATATGGGGAATTAATCTGTTGGTTGCGCTGTTCCGGATTCGATTGGGATCAGAGCGCGCGGGTTGGCTCCTTGCCGTGCGCGCCACTAGCAGTGCAAAAGCGTCGCCTGCAAAGTTTTGAATTTCGCGCGCTCTGATCCCGACCAGATCCGCATCTGATCCCGCGTGTTAGCAACTATGGCCGTAACATCCATTTCTTCGTTGTAATTCAGCTTCGGACTTTTTCCAAATAGTAAATAGCTCTGCATACAACTTAAAAATTTCTGAAAATCCCCACCTAATCCACTCAACTCTTTCTGAGGAAGGATAGCCAACCGAACCATTGCGAGAATTGTGGCGTCGAAGCTTGAAGAATGCTTCCATCGATCTTCCTCGCAAAATACCAGACCATCGCCATTCTCCATTACAACTGTAGAAAGCATAAATCAAGAACTTTCTGGCTAAAGATACTTCTGTCAACCTTTCATTCGACATGGTGGCAGATTTGTCATAGATTTCTGACTTGCGACTTGCTCGGAGTCTTGGTTCCGCAGTTAATCGGCTTTTTTCCTCGTCATCTGCTGAGATGGTATCAATGAGAAATCAATGAAATGTAAAATGTAGAATTTATTCTCACCTTGTGGCTTACTGGTTCTCGTGACGATTTCTTCGTTCTCCGTAGCTCCTGCAAAGTGTGTGTTAAATACAAAAATTTTTTCGTTTCCACAAAATATAGCAGAACAAATTGCCCGCTTACCTGTTTGGTCAACAGGATCAGCATTTTCTTCAATAAAGATTGATGCTGAATTGATGATAAGGTAGCTACAAAGTGACGTATGCACATCTAGCCCATTTAACAGATGGGAATCTCCACCAACAAGTACAGGAGGTGCTCTGAAATAGTCTCGATTCTGTCTCAATTGGACTGGCGCGGTGAATTGTTGCATATTTTTAATTATGTAACTTCTCGCTGATTTAGGACAGGCACTTATATTAGTGTCCCGAAAGTTTTCTATTTTTTAAGCGACTATGAAACTCTTACAAAGTAGAGTTTTAAAGTCGCTTAAACGCTCAAACGAGCATTAGGAGCACCATTTTCTTCTCTTTCTGAATGCTGCTTTTCTGAACTGTTAGGTTGATGCATAATTCCTGCACCAAAATAGGTACAGACCGCAATAACTCGGAATAATCCTATATCACAAGTAGGATTCGATATATCATTAGATAGCGCAAACCTAGCTCTACAAGATAAATCTCAAATATCTACGCCAGCTTTGATCCAAGCGAAGTTTTGAGCCGACAACTGAAAAAAACCATGCGTCCAAAAACCCTAGGACCAATCAAACCCAAATTGTAACTTCGTTCAAAAAGCTCTTACAAAATTTTTTCTTGCTCACGCGTAGACATTCCACGTAAGACAGACGTATCTATCTATGCGGTTGCTGTTTTTTTTTCTCAGCTAGACGATGAGAAAACGAAGTTTTCCATGTTTTCCCAAGTTAGTGCTGAGATGTTCTAGCACTGACAGTTGTATACTATAGGACCTTAGAAGCGTGAGTGTGAATTACAGCAACTGGTTTACGAGAAATATCGAATTTTTGGCAACGACAAGAAAAATTTAAATAAAAAGTGCTAGATTCGTCATTTCTCGTGAACTAGCAGTTCTAGAAGGCTGAACATGTAAAGTTTCAGTGCTAATGGCATGTACTATACAACTGTTGATACTAGAACATCTCAGCACTAATTTGGCAAAAACATGAAAAACTTCAAAAAACTTCGTGTTTTCATCGCCTAGTTGAGAAAAAAATACAGCAACCGCATAGATAGATGTCTTATGTGGAATGTCTACGCGTGAGCAAGAAAGAAATTTTCTTGGAGCTTTTTGAACGAAGTTACAATTTTGTTTTGATTTGTTTTCTTAAGGTTCTCGAACCAGGGCTCGGCACGAGGTGGCTAGTTGAAAATGCAAAAAACGAAGTCCCCCTTGACTTTTGCGAATTTTTACGCAGTCCCCTTTGACCCTAGACCAGGGCTCGGCACTATACTTGGGTAATTCGATAATTTTTCATCGAATGAATGAATATCGAATAAATTCGAAAAGGAAAAATTCCGAATAAACGAATATCGAATAAATTCGTAAAATCAAAAATATCGAATAAATGAATTTCGAATAAATTCGGAAAATCAAAAATATCGAATGAATGAATATCGAATATATTCGAACATTGGAAGTCGAATTTCGAATAAATATTCGAATGATTTATCGAATAACTAAAGCAATCACATCTCAAACTTGCCGACATATCTGGCCAAAGCCGATCCAATTATAATCGGCCCCCTAGTATCCCCTATACCAACTCCTAGCTCAAGATTTTTCAAAAATCGGTGAAATCAATGATAAATTTTGTTTTTAATCAGTGCCCTCATTTACCCCTCTACCAACTCCCAGCCCCGCAGCTCAAATTTCTCCAAAAATCGATAAAATCGATAAAGTAAATTTTTATCCATAATCCGTGAAGGTGCACCAGCCAGCTTTGAGCGGTCGCGCGCGTCGTGTAAGCGGCTGCACTTCGTGATCCTTGCGCGTTATGCACCGCACGGGTAATAACCGCATTTATACACCTTGATCCTGCGGCTTTGTTCGACAGCAGACCTTATTTGTCAGGCTTCCACTGGATTTCAAAGACGTTTAGCAGAGTAAAGATAAAATTCGCTGGAGCTAAAATCTAAAAATGAGAAACATTGCAACTTGGTGTAAGCATTAACGAGCTGTTCGGATTCATAGATCTAGGTGTGCGATCTTTTGAAGCAATAAGGTGGCCACATGTGTATTTAAATTCCACAAATGCTACGATACATTGCTTGTTCATCGGAGACTTTCGTCTTGTATGGTATACGCTAGTCGTAGACAAAGGCATGTGGTTTCCTCCACGATGCCAGCACGAATGCCCCTATAACCCCGGGCATACTGCAGGCATTTCAGTGGTGACGTTGTATGGCAATACTCAAATTGTCCAAAACCTATTCTGAAAGTACAGAATGCAGGGCATCTATCATTTTAGTATGTTGTACACGCTAAACATTTGTGGTAAACTGCCATTACATCTGAAGACATCTCGTAACTGGCAAATCGCGTACGGCGATCTAAACCGTCTAATCCTGCACCACAACTGCGATGTCCTTTACTCAATATACACCAATTCGCAAGAAAATCCAAGGTAACGAGTAGGCAGTTTTGAAATTATTTATGCGAGCAAGATTGCTCACTAGTGTGGGCTTTGCGTACCGCAAGCATGAGCAATGCAAAAAAAGAAGAACAGCCATTTCAATTCAGTATGAACTCAGAACATGAGCTTGAATTTGATATCTTCTTTGCTGATTTGGTGCATAGCAGTGCGAACATTCTCACTGATCGAAAAAACATCAATTAAACTTATGATTTTTTTACTGTCGCAAGCAGCCGGAAGAATGCGACTCTCCATACAGTTCAAAGGTATACCAGTGGCAAAAGATGCATTACCGAGTTTTGCGAAAAAAAAAACGCGGACGAAGTGAGCTTGATACCCAGCATCTCTGCAACAAAGTCGAATAATCTGAATACGGAGTACATTCGAATACGAATTCGAATAAACATTCGAATAAAACATTCGAATAAAATCTATTCGAAACCCCGTTTATTGATTATTCGAGTTTTCGAATAATATTCGAAACCTCGTTTTTTGATTATTCGAGTTTTCGAATAATATTCGAAACCCTGTTTTTTGATTATTCGAGTTTCGAATTTTATTCGAAACCCCGCTTTCTCAATTATTCGAGTTTCGAATATTATTCGAAAATGGAAGAACTCCGAATATCGAATTTCGAATACGAATATATTCGAATGTTTTATTCGAATGATCGAATTTCTATTCGATTCGGACCCAAGTATACTCGGCACGAGGTGGCGTCCCGAAATTGCAAAAAATGAAGTCCCCTTTGACTTCAGTAAAACGATATCCGCCACGAAATATTCGAAGAGAAAATACATGAAAAGGAACGGAACAAAGCAACAGCAGAAAAAAACGAAAAAGAATCATCGAACACATGCGATGATATTCATATTCTCCGGAATGGCGGCATGATGTATCCATCGTGCAGCAATACGCGCCTAGAGCAACCTTTCCGCGGCCATTCTTTTCAAGGGGCTATAACTAAGCGGGGAGAAGGGGGTTTGAGGCGGTTTAGGAACCAGTTTGTAGGGTTCGGGATGTAGATGAAAAGTATGTAAAGAAAGTGGAAAAATTATGTGAGGGAGGAAAAATTTATGACTTTTTCTTTCCTAAGCCACCTCAGGTGGCTATCCAGGTGGCTTGAAAGCCACCTAACTCCGAAAAAAGTTGAGCACGCCTTCAGTTCACATAATTTTTTCATAATTTTTCATACTCAGTTCTAACTCCCATTGTCCATCTACACACCTATTTTGGTGTCATTTCATCCTCACTTCGCTGTAAACAAACCTTTTGTTTATTTGCTAGCGGCATGCCGGCAGCGTGCCGGCCGCAGGTCGAAAGACAACGTTATGCTCTTCCGCAAAAACGATATCCCCTTTGCTTTTTCCCCAAAAACGATATCCAGCTTGCTTGCTAAGCCACCTGTGCCGTGCCCTGTCTCGAACGCATGATTTTTTTCAGTTTTGGCTCAGAACTTCGCGTGGATCAAAGCTGGTGCAGATATTTGAACACTATCTTGTAGAGCTAGGTTCGCTCTATCCAGTGATATATCGAATCCTATATGGGATATAGGATTATTGCAGTCTGTACCTATTTTGGTGCAGGGATTATGCATCAACCTATAATATTAGGTCATTCCGAAAGTAATTTCGCTTTTTTCAAACGGGCGCCACATTTCATCGAACAAAGGTTTCTAAGAGATCTTGGAGGCATTCGATGCAGAATTTCATTCTCTTTCTAATGTTTATGAAATTGTTGCAAAACAGTCAATGAGCTTTCAGAAAGTAACCAAAACTTGCGACCCATGCTTTTTGAGATGGTCAAGTTTCACGATTTTTCAAAATTTTCGTATCAATCCTCAGAAGGAGTTCAAGTAACGATTCGATAGAGTAAACCTTATAGAATACAGCGGTGCTCTTTTCTCCTTTCCATAGCTTGTCATACGTGTTTAACAGAATCTTAACTGATGCTACCGCTTTCCATACTTGGGCAGCTAAATCCTCGTAGAACATTAAGAGAAGATCAGCTCGCTCACTATTCGGCAGCATTTTCTCCTCTTTCTAACAGGTGTTTTTTGTTTCCAATTCGTTTAGTTTTCCGGGGATAAAATTATCACATCTCATTTTTTTAGCGAGCCGCAGGCTGTAAGCGAAAAACTCGAAATATGATATTTCGAACCCGTAGACCCTCACTTGCTTTGTAAAATTAATGCTAACTCATAAAACCATTTTGGTAGTCTCAAATTACGAAAAATTATGATGTTTGATGCGATTGTGGCTGAGGTGGGCCTGCCAAAATCCGATAGTTCTGTTAAAAAATCTAAAAAAAAATATTACGGCGAGCTACGAGAAGGGGAAAAAAGTAGTACTGTATTCTATAAGGTTTACTCTATCGAATCGTAACCTGAACTCCTTCTGAGGATTGATACGAAAATTTTGAAAAATCGTGAAACTTGACCAACTCAAAAAGCATGGGGCGCAAGTTTTGGTTATTTTCTGAAAGCTCATTGACTGTTTTGCAACAATTTCATAAACATTAGAAAGAGAATGAAATTCTGCATCGAATGCCTCCAAGATCTCTTAGAAACCTTTGTTCGATGAAATGTGGCGCCCGTTTGAAAAAAGCGAAATTACTTTCGGAATGACCTAATATCTTGATGAGCGGAACTTGTAGAAATCGCATGATAAATTCCCGTTTCATCATGCTTATATTTTCTAAATGGCAAACGCTTATTGTTCATATTGTTTGTCTCCAATCAGAAGCTCAGTGACCGTCCTGGCAACTGGGTAGTAACGCAAGTATATACTAGAAATATTGGAAAAAGAGACGCAAAATGTTTTCAAGAAAAATTGTAATTTACACTGTAAATTTTTATGTGTGATTCCTCTTGTACTTCATCACGAACTGAAAATTTTATACAGTACAAAAACTAATGCTTATTAGAAAAATCTCGTTAAGTCGCCAATTGTAGAGACATTAGGTCTGCCACGGAAGCTCTTTCAGTTGGAATAGGTCCCAATGAAAGTGATCTTATTGGACTCTACTTTTTTGCTACAAATCAGAATTTTGCAATTCAATATTCCTTATTTTCAACTTGATTGCCCAAATAAGTTTTGTTCTTTGCGTTTCTTTCTAAGACTATGAGTCTTTCCAAATATTTTGAGTTTGGAGTTGGAGTTTTGTGAACGAAGTTACAATTTAGCTTCGATTTTTTTCTTTTTTTTTAAGGTTATCGGACGCATGTTTTTTTTCAGTTTTCGGCTCAAAACTTCGCGTGGATCAGAGCTGGTGCAGATATTTGAACACTATCTTGTAGAGCTAGGTTCGCTCTATCCAGTGATATATCGAATCCTATTTGGGATATAGGATTATTCCAGATTATTGCGGTCTGTACCTATTTTGGTGCAGGAATTATGCATCAACCTAATAACTAGGATAGTCAAAATGATTAGCAGAGCACCGTAATTATAAGCTTTGCAATTATTTCTTGATAAAAAAAGAAAAAAGAGTGCTGTGTATATAACTCCCAAAAAAGATTTCGAGGAACTTGCTTCCGCTCGATCTCAGTCTGCTACTGCTTCTTATACGAAATGTGTTTAAAATAGTACGTACAGTACGGAAATTTCCATAGCGATTTTTGTAGATGTATAGCCTTGTACGTAAATTTTCAGATTCCAGGGAAATCGACTTCCCTCGTTTAGAAGGACCAATTTTGACTTTTGATGCCGAATTCGATGAGAAAAAAAATTCAATACAGATGTCTTCATCAACTCTTTCGCTCCCTCCTTTGGAATGAATTGAGTTTTTCAGTAAAACAACAGGATACTCAAAGCAATAAATGCTCACCTGAAGAGATTTGGTGCCCAAACGATTGCCAAGTTTTTAGCAGTCATGTCGGTAAGTGAAGTATAACTACATAATCGGGAGAGGTGTCGCATAAGATATGCTGCTGTTCTGTAAATATAGAATTCAAATGTTGAATTGTTCTGATATTGAGAAAATGTACAAAATTTTCAAAGTACATAGGCTTACCGTAAATGGGCTATAGGCATTGTCTCCAAAACGCTGCGCAGTTTAGGAATTTTGTCGTCTTCGGAGCTTTCGAAGGCTGTCTGGAGTGGAAGTATAAACTTTAGTAATGATGGTGGGTACTCCAGAAGAACTTACCAAAATTTTTGAATAGGACTGAAACGTGAACAGTGGGTTAGGCAGTTGACGAAAATACTGTTTCAGCAAAGAGGAAACAGAATAAATATCTCTTTGACCGAATTCGAAGAGATCTGGCTCGTTACCACTATCAAATTTTGCCCTGAATTGATAAAAGCTACAAATATGAATATAAATATATAAATATACTAATTTCTCAGAATTATCTTTCACCTAAGTTTCTGTATATTCGACTGGATTCCACATTGACGATAAATACCTGTTACAACACCTTGATGCTCAATTGCTTCACAACATCTTTCGACAATAAGAGGGACTAAAAAACACTTAATAAAGAAAAAATAGTGGGAAACAACAAATAAAGAAGCAGCTCACTTTTTCGACCAGTCCTATTCAAATGATCAACCAGAGCAGTACCGAAAACTGGATCGCGAAGACGGATTCGGTGCTTCAGCAGTCCAGGCAGTCGACGAGCAGCCATAAGAGAGGTCTGAAACTGCTAAAAAATGTATAAAGATATTTGCACTGAGTATTAAAGGAAATGTCGTGCAAAAGCAATAAAATTATATGCAAATATAAAACAACGAAGGTGTTGAAATTGTGTAGACCTTGTTTGAGGAAGAAAGACGAACAGGCAGTCGTTTGTCGTCGATAAGTCGAACACAATCAGCTGGGAAAGTACCGACCTAGAAGGATTATTTGAGTGTTTGATAGACTAAAATTTCTTGTTTTTGTTCTTCAAACTCTCGAATCAATTGTAATTTTTTTAAAATATGCTCAGAAAATCATATATATTGGGACCTAATGATGGTTGCAGAAATTTTTTTCCAGTTTGGAGAAATAGCGTCCTCTCAACTTAAAGGCAGCGCCCCCTCAAAAGTTCGCAGCCCATTTTTTTGTCATATGAAATCTTCCCAAGGTCCTGATTACAGTTATGAAGTTGAAAATGTGCAAAATTCCCAAAAAACCTGGTTTCTGAAAGCTTTAAACTGAAGGCACAGGCGACTCTCAGGACTTGGATGGGTGGAGCTTGGATAGGATGGGCGTGGCTCAATAGTACTTTCGTGAGTTTCAGGTCCATTTTTCCCATTCAAAAACAACATTGGAAGACCGGACCAAAGCAGTGCACCTCTCCTGTGACCTTCATTTAGGCTACGTCTATCAGATTCACTTGGATTTTGCCTAAACGCTGCCTTTAGAAAATTCTTCTTGCTAGCTTATAATCCTTCATATGTGCTTTCAAAAATTTCGCACCTAATTTTTTGGTGGGGATGGGTCACCACAGTTATAAACTATAAAACTGAGATTTCTTCTTCCAAACAATTCTTGTTCATTTATATCTGCCGACATCGAAAAAGATTTCAAACTATTGATCGAGTAACTAAATACAAATGAAGAGTGTTCGGAATTTATCAAAGCTTCTTCTATGATATGATATGTTAACATTTCATTATTTAGCACCACTTACCTCAACCAGTCGTGGTTCGGAATCTTGCCCCCGTTCCCGATTAGCGATAGTTAACTTCGCCTTCCAGAACACTCCATCTTTTTGAGGTGTAGAGTTCATTTCAATGATGGATAAAATGTCTCCTACCTAGAAATAATCGTGTTTTTGTAAGAGGCATTTATGTGAATTCAGTGAGAAACAGTAAGATGGGTTATGCGCTCTTCCGATTCAGTTTGCAGCATTTAGCTACGGAACCTTTTACTTTTGCAAGTACAAAGCATTATATACCTTTCTAGACGAATTTATAAAAGCAGAACGTTGATTTTTTGAAGTCGTTCTACCTAAAGCTACTTCCTCGCCAATTCAAACGAGTCTTTGGAATCCATAGGTGTTTGCAAACACATTTTCTCTCACTCCCTCAAAAACAGGCATTTTATACGTCTACAAAAGAAAATTATGCTTTCTGCTCATGAATTGGCCCCAAACAAAAGGAACTCTCCTTCTAATAAAATGACATTAGTTTTTCAGCCCATAAATTTTGTCAAGATCCTAGTTCATGAGCAGAAAGCATGAATAGATAGTCCTTACATGTATTTTGCGCGACAAGACCAAGGAGTGCAGTTTTTTTCTAAATTTCATATCACATTTTCAAGAGCCGAACAAAGAATCAAAAAGGTTAATATCATAGCTTGCTCTATAAGCATTATATAGCACTATACATACAGTGATCGCCAAAAAGTTGCGGACAAGCCTCCCTCCCTTTTTCATCGCTCTTTTTCAGAAGGAAAACAAGGAAAAAAATGTAGTGATTGCATGAGGTGATATAGCTCTTCAAGATCTACTATCTACAGTTTGCGTTTTTCGAAAAACATGTTCTAAAAATTTTAAAAAACTTTTTCTAAAAAAAGTCCGAAAATGGCCGCGTCACAATGTTGCGGACAATAACTCTTCGAACGCAAAAATTTTCTTTTGAGTCCTATTCCGAAGCTGAAACACAAGTAATCCAAACGGGTAAGCATACTACTACACAGAGCTCGTCAAGAACTACACACTGGCTATGGCTGCTTCCCAAAAAACACAAGCTTGAGTTTTATTTTGCTTTTTTTCAAAAATAACTTCTAATTCTCCTTTTTAAGCCAAGTTTCTTCACATGGAAACCTATTCACGACATTCCAACAACGCTGTTCGGATAAAGTAGATGCTCTTTACCATTCTCCATGCATCTGACGTGTGCTGATGAGTTTCTTTGCTGAAAATGGCTCTTGGCAGTGCTTGCACATGACCCCACCTGCACCTCACCACTGACTTGTACCGGTTTGCAGGGTTGTAACTCGGCTTGTAGTCAAAACGTGAGCCTGCAAGTAGGCTTATTCGAAAGAAAGAGACTTCCTCTACACGACGGTATGCAAAATAGATGAGTATAAGAAACAGCGGAGATTTGGCGGATGGGGTGGAAAAACGCGGCCTCAGTGGTGGTTGGAGTGACGGCTCTTATCAACACCAAAACAGTTCTAGAGCTTCAAAATGGATCTATTACAAGAACATTGACAGTTTTAAGCTTCCAGGATTGAACTGGTAGCGAAAGAAGGAAGCTCTATTCAACTTAAGCTGGATATCCTCACCCTACCACTAAGGCCGCGTTTTTCCACCCCATCCGCCAAATCTCCGCTGTTTCTTATACCCATCTATTTTGCATACAGTCGTGTAGAGGAAGTCTCGTTCTTTCGAATGAGCCTTATCGCAGGCTCACGTATTGACCACAAGCCGAGTTACAAGCCTGCAAAGCGGTACAAGTTAGTGGTGAGGTGCAGGTGGGGTCATGTGCAAGCACTGCCAAGAGCCATTTTCAGCAAAGAAACTCATCAGCACACGTCAGATGCATGGAGAATGGTAAAGAGCATCTACTTTATCCGAACAGCGTTGTTGGAATGTCGGGAATAGGTTTCCATATGAAGAAACTTGGCTTAAAAAGGAGAATTAGAAGTTATTTTTGAAAAAAAGCAAAATAAAATTCAAGCTTGTGTTTTTTGGGAAGCAACCATAACCAGTGTGTAGTTCTTGACGAGCTCTGTATAGTAGTATGCTTACCCGTTTGGATTACTTGTGTTTCCGCTTCAGAATAGGACTCAAAAGAAAATTTTTGCGTTCGAAGAATTATTGTCCGCGACATTGTGACGCGGCCATTTTCGGAGTTTTTTTAGAAAAAGTTTTTTAAAATTTTTAGAATACATGTTTTTCGAAAAACGCAAAGTGTAGATTGTAGATCTCGAAGAGCTCTATCACCTCATGTAATCATTACATTTTTTTATCCCTGTTTTCCTTCTGAAAAAGAGCGATGAAAAAAGAAGGGAGGCTTGTCCGCAACTTTTTGGCGGTCACTGTATGTTCATCAGTCGAAGTTAAAATTAGAAACGCAGAACCTAGTTGTTAGAATAAGGAGGAAGATAAGATCGATTGCTCAGTGTTTATATCTGTGGAAATCGCAGAAAACATAGAATAAAACTTAATAGCTCGAATGAAAAATTTTGTGAATGAAATGAAAAACCGGAGTTCTCTGTCGATTTTCAAGTTCAGGCAAGTCTTTCGAATCTTGGTTTTGGATTTAGAATTTTCTGAACAACCAAGGTACAGGTGTCAACCTTCCGCTCCCTTTTCCAGCAGCCAAATCCAACCCCAGCGCCTCGCGCCGCATTCGCGCGCGTATAGCTTGCGCACTCCAAACTCGCCTCATCGATCGGAGCCGCGCTAGACCCATGCGTTGCGGACGCGTGGCTGCTACGCGAAAGTGAAGACATCGACTGTAAGATCATGCACGTACCCTCAGTCGTAGATGATCCTCCGATGTCGGTACAAAATCTTTTGTAACAATCGCAGCTGCGATGGCAGGGGTGTTAATGGCAGTGTCTTCGGCAGGCTCGAAATGTCCACCTCGGCAGTCCACCTAAGTAATTTTTATTGATAGTTCCCAAACTAATCTTATTCAGATTCTCAGCACCTCCAGGAATTTGAGCACTGGATAGCACGTGATGATACTGCCGGTGAGTTGAGATAATCTGGACGTATATCGCTCGATGATTTCCTGAAAACAAAATGTCTGACATGAACGAACTTATGACTTGGGTGGTTCCAAAGGCTTTGTTCTTTTTTATTCGGATAGAAGCACGTTAACAGATGGTTGACTAAAAAGTTTTGCCCTTTTTATTAGGTTGTCTGAGTGAATTTCTTTTCCAAATAACAGGCTGTTTTCGTTTTCCTAGCAGATTTGGGATATCATTTGATAGAGCGGAGCAAGCTCTACAAATTGACATCCAAAAATCCCGCCTATGTCTAATCCAGGTAAAGTTTGGAACCAAAATCAAGGAAAATTTATCACCTAAAAACTGGATTTTTGCGCGAAAAATCCTACCGACCTCAAACAAACAATACTCTCAAATATGCTTTCATTGCATTTTTTCGCGCTTAGAAAGCGAGAAAGAAAAGATAGTCCAAAACAGGGCTCGGCACGAGGTGGTTAGTTGAAAATACAAAGAAGTCCCCCTTGACTTTCCCCAAATTTTTACGAAGTCCCCTTTGACCCTAGACCATAATCCCTAAAAAAGCTCCAAAAAACGAAACGTCGACTAAAAAAACGTCGCAAATTTTGGTCGCTTCGGCCACAAAAACGAAACCCCCTTTGCTTTTTGTCCCAAAAACGATATCCAGTTTATAAGCCACCTGTGCCGAGCCCTGGTTCAAAAATGGCAAACCCCTCCCCATCATCACATATGCCATTGTATTACAAGCCCTAACATAAACTTACAATTTTACCTTTGTTTGTGCTTTGGTACTCGATTATATACCAAGTTTAATATTGAAAAGCCGGAAAAAGTGGCATATTTGACTTACGGATCAATGTGAATTCCCAATTTTGAGTTGCGGAAAATTAACCAAATACATTTTTATGTACTACTATGTGTCTACTGTATGATGACCAAGTTGGAAGTCCGTAGGAATTTTCTGGAAGGAGATCCGATTTTTAGGGCACCTGATATATTTTGTTTTTAGCACCAAATTTTACCTGGACTACGACTTTGGCGAATCTTTGGTGGTCATTCCGTATAACTTGCTTTACTCTATCAAATTGTGCCCTAAGTCTGCTAAAAAGACAAAAGCAGCTTGAATTATCTCAAAATACAGTTTACTTACAACCTAGTACAATCTTATTAAATTTGTACCAAACTTGTAAAACCATTATTTGAGGGGTATGTGGTCATGGCAATTGAATCTATCAATTGCGAATTGGCCATTGAGAATCACAATCATGAAAAAAAAGTCCCGGACACTAATTGGTAAAAAGAGCATCTATCTTCGGATTGGTGTCGTGAAGGGTCGGTAATATTATAAAATTCAACAAGACCATATTGCAAAAATCAAGCAGTTCTTTTCCTCAGATGGAACGTGAAAAATCTTCTTTGCATAATTTCAGCTCAGGAAGCTTTTCGTTAGATTTTACGAGGTTATAAAACTGTAGCACACCTTGACATCGGATTCCTTCGACTCATCAACAAAGTTCAATTCCTCCAAATGCGAAAACCTTCGCTCAAAAACGCAGCGATGGAGCTGTTGGTCGAAGTTGGACATTTCTGGCAATGTCCTTATAATCGTCCTGAAAATAGTCTGTCATAATCAGCAAAAAGGTATACTTGTTTCGTGTTTCTTAATTAGCCATGAATTGTTGAAGAAGTGATTAACGTTTTCTATTTGAGTGAAAGCATTATTTTTGCAGGAGACTATCGTTCAATAGGTGGATAATTACCGTGTTTTTCTGGGAATTTTCTGCCGACAACCTTTGCGCATAAAAAAACCATGAGGCGCAAATTTTGAAGATGCGCGCCATGGCCAAATTTCAGCAATTGCTCTAGGCACCAAAGTATGCGTACATATATTTGCCTTTTCTCTAACATCAGTCCCTTTCTATCCTCCCCCTTACTTTCTAGTCATAGGACTCAGACACAAAGCTTTTCACATCTACACAGGTGGCGTTAACGAGTCTCCAGCTAGCCGGTGCAAATGATGCCACCTGTGAGCAAATTTCGATAAAATCTATAGCAACTTTTAAACTCTAAGAACATCCTATAGATATATGTTTCGCCTTTATCTTTGAAGAGACTTATGAGATTAGAAATAACTCAAAGAACAAAACTTATTTGGGCAATCAAGTTGAAATAAATATTGAATTGCAAAACCCTGATTTGTAACAAAAAAGTTGAGTCCAATGAAGTCACTTTGTGAGACCTATTCCGACTGAAAAAGCTTCCGTGGCAGACCTAATGTCTCTACAATTGGCGACTTAACGAGATTTTTCTAATCAGCATTCGTTTTTGTACTGTATAAAATTTTCAGTTCGTGATGAAGTACAAGAGGAATCACACATAAAAATTTAAAGTGTAAATTACAATTTTTCTTGAAAACATTTTGCGTCTCTTTTTCCAATATTTCTAGTGTATACTTGCGTTACTACCCAGTTGCCAGGACGGTCATTAAGCTTTTGATTGGAGACAAACAATATGAACAAGAAGAGTTTGCCATTTAGAAAATATAAGCATGATGAAACGGGAATTTATCATGCGATTTCTACAAGTTCCGCTCATCAAGAGATTAGGTACAAAATCAAAAACTTATATCTGTATTGCTGAAATTAACGGCAGTGGCCTTCATAAACCTACAATTTTTGAAAACTAATTTGAAAAAGATATACCTTCGATAATGATAGGCAAACGCAAAATTTCGCCAGAGATTACATGAGGTTGAACCGAATATTCTATCACCTTGTTTTCAGAAAATCTGTAAATGCTCCCTATATAAATGTGCTTGCTTAAGAAAAAAGTTTTTCAGAGAGAAAAATTAATCTACTTTCCAATAACATCTTCGCTGCTTTTTGACGACATGGAACTCCAAAGGAAAGATTTCGAATGGGAAAACCATTCCAACTCTTGATAAAAAATCGCCAAAAATTTTGGAACGCTGCAGAAAAATTTGAAAACATGTTTCTTACAGTCTACGTAAACTGCTCTTTCTAAGAACAAGTCCGTGCTGATCGAGCGATTCTGTGAAAAAAGCTATGGTTTCTGAAGGAACTAAGGAAACTGCAAAAAAACTTTTTTTTCGCCGTTCTGTGTTTGGTCGAAAAAATCTGAAACTTGCATTAAAAATCAGAGCAGTTGATATCAAAGATTTTTTTGCCTGCCTTTTCTAGCTGTGTAATGTTCATTTCAATTTAACTTTTCTACTCAATGTCTCGATTTTTGAGCCACCAGTCCACAACAGCAAAGTTAGTCTTTCTAGCATTTTCCTCGAAGATCACAATTTTCATAGGCATTTTTATCAGTCAGCACTAACGCACTGTCAGAGCAGCTTAAAAAACCGTAGGAAACATGCTTTAGGACTTTTCTCAAGCTCGACGATTTTTTCGGAAAATCGAGAGCCAAAATGGTTCTCTTATTCGAATTTTTATTCTGAAGCTCCTTGCTGTCAAAGAGCCGCAATGATGATATTTAGAAGGAGATGAATTTTTCTTTCTGATAAAGTTTTTTATAAGCAAACACATTTACATAGGGAGCAGTTCCGATTTTTTGACAATGAGAGCGACAGAACTTTCGATTCAACCTTATAGAATAATAGGCTTCAACATATGCTTCAAAAACATAACGAATAAATAGTTACAAAAACATTGAAAGTAGGCTTTACGATAGATTCAGATTTCATTGTTCAAGTACTGCATCTTTCATAAATCACCTAGACCGTTTTTACCGATGCTCGACTTTTTGTCTTTGCAAATTTCGAGCGACAATGTAAACACAAAAAAACTCAATGAACTGTAAAAAACACATTTGTATGAGAAGATAGAGAAACGGTGCAAACAATTTCCTTCAATTGTAAAGCGAGAGCATAGAAGAAAGGGGCCTTGTGGTCATGAAAATACACTTATATCCAAAATAAAGTCATTAACTTAGCTTAGAATAATTATGGAGTATATTCAAATAATCATCTCGCATAACCGATAATGCTTTCAAGGAAAAAAAGACCAACCAAGAAGCTCCATTACTTTCAACCCGAAAAGTACAATGCAGTCCTTCTTTTTCTTCTGTTGAGACTAATGAGACCAGTATGGGACCAAGTTCGACAACAGGATAGTGAAAATGTTCACGTTCCATGAGCCTTTGAATCCTATAAATACTGAAATGAACTTTAACTTACAAGGAAGTAATAATTCAATTTGAACAAAAAATAGCAGATGATATGCACCCCTTAGAAAGTAAGTAAAGTTTACCTCCATTGATTTCTCCAAAGTAACGGGCTCTTCGGAGGGATTGGAGAATGCTGGCTTGTATTCGTGTCCATCACATCATTCTTTTCACTCTACGACTTTTTTTATTACTGTAAAGGAGAATTTCGCCCGCAGCTACAGTGCCCACATATGAAAAAATAAGCCAAGTAGTGAAATCTTGTAGAAGATTTGATTGACTCATTTATAATTCGACAAACCACATGGTTGAAAATGCCTTGGTAAGATAGTTCTAGCAACACAAATTTATTTACCTAGACATTTTTGAGTAGCACATGCTATGTGGTTAAACATCTGTCCACCTTCCTGCTCAGTTATTGATTAAGGAATAAAAATACCGAACCACCTTCGAATTATTAATTTCCAGCATCAGAACTCATATAGTGGATTTTTAGATTTTTAGCGACAAAATTTCGGCTCAAGCAAGTTCAACTTTATTGAAAATCGATATAAGCTTTAAAAGACATTTAAGTACATAATGCTCATATCTCAAGAAGAATTTTTATTGAATGTTTTTTCTCAAAAGGAAAAGAATATTTTCGCGAGTGATTATAGTGGAACTGAAATGATTTTGTGAACGCGGAAGATTTCGAAACGAAAATTTCTCAAAGGTCGATCTCATTCATTGTGAACAAATTTACAAAAAGTTAACTAAGTTGTACCCTAGGACAAGACATTTGTTAGTTTTTAATGCAGAACTTTCAAAATGAAAATTGTGACTGCGACATCATCTATTTAGGAGAACGTAAGGTTTCGCAAAGCTTCTAATTTTTTCTGAGTAGATCTCTGCACAGCAGATTCTCAGAGCTAGAGTGAGAAACAAAAGTTTGAACAGCAATCTTTGGAGAAATGTAAGCCTTGACAAAAATCATTCTACACCTACACCCTATTGAAAAAAACCCGGTAAAAATCCACGAAAATCAAAATTACTGCATTCTTCTGAACACAATAGAAATTAGAGTTGTGTGAGGTGATAAGAAAGATTCATATTCACAGAGTTATTCAAACAAATATGCATTGCGAAAGAGTCTTGAAGAATGTTGTGATGATGCTGATTTATGAGCATTCAGGAAAAAACTCGGTAAAGACGAGGACGAGTAAACGACTAGATAGAAAAATCTGGAATATCTTTGGAATGTTAGACACTTTTGCAGAATTAAAAAGAACTTTTTGCAAGAATTAGTTAGTTCGCGTTGACACAGTACCATCTCAAGAATCTTCTCAAATTACATTTACAAGAAGAAAAACAACACAAGATCTGACCAGCTGATCCTGAGCTGCAACAGCCTGGGCTTCTTGGAACAGTTAGTCTAGAGGTTATCGATTGATAAACAGCTGACATGACAATGAAAGTTGATAAAATCGGTTTGACACGAATCTAACAGCATTGAACCTTGGATCAAGAATCAACTGGGGTAGGGTCAAATAAAGTTGTGGGGGAAGGCGCACTAATAATTTATGAAAGTGATTAAATCGTAGCCAGCTAGGACTAAGGTAAAGGTGGTATTTATTTTAATAACTTTTTATTGATTTTCTAGGCTAAGGATGGTTTAGAGAGATGGTATAACTGATTTTGTGAAATTAGACGATTTTTAGTGTTTGGGTGGCCCAGAAGTGCGCCCACGTCGTCAGAAAAAAGCTTCTTCAATGCAGAAAAAAAGCAAGTTTAAAGGACTCATTAAGAACACAAAGAAAGTGATATCAAAAAGTGATAAGACCCCCTCAAAGTGGCAGTGGGCAGTGTGTAGTGGGCATTGTGTGTGTGCGTGTGAGCGTTTCTGAGCACCTGACATCGGCGGATATGTTAAACTGATTTCGCTGGGAGAGATAGAGACTGAGAGCAGAGCCTGGCATCGCCCCCCTCACACAACACGATGAATGGGACCTTTGCAAGTCATTAGGTCCGAGTTTTTCGTCCAATCTATGTGTGAGATCCTTCAGGTAAACCAGGTGGTAGCAGGCGGATGCATGGTTTAACAGATAATCCTACAAAAATGTACTGGATATTCTTTGCTGCAAAAAATCTGCTAGATTTGAGATGGATAGGATGATTTTTATCATATGCAAAAAAAATAAGAAAAAACCAAACATGCAATTTCAAATGAATAACTCATTACCGACAGTGTGTTACAGATAAAATTCCAAGCTTTCTGTTATCTTTTGGTTAATTTTGTCTCCCTTACAAATTTTTGGCAAATTCAATATTTCGTATTTCATTGAGTATAGAAATCTGCGCTCTCCAGTATTGTTTAGAAAAAAATCACTGTTGGCACATAATGGCGATAAAAATAAAAGAATTATTCAAAATGTACACTTTACAAATTCTGCTGTCACAAATGCTATAGTGAACTCGAGTTTATTTCGGAGGCGAATCATGGCCTAAACTTTCTAATAGAAAAAAATTCGCGGAATATATCATCTTGTACTACAAATAAAAACTCTATCCAAAGCAAAAGCATAGTCTTCATGTAAATATCACAAAATATCAAAATTACACTTTCCAATTTTTTGAAAATCCACTCAAAAACCCGCTATCTGTGATCACCAACCCTGAAAAATATAATGATCCAATATCTATATGATTAAGCCTCAAATTCTGCAATATGTTTCAAAATACTAATTTTATTATACTTTACAAAAGTGTAACGCACTTTGATTAGCCGATTTGAATTCCTGGTGTAAGACTCACGTTCAACCTACTACTTCCACTTAAATTTTCATCCATCGGAATCAAGACGGAGTTGCTGGAGCTTCCAAGCATCAATAAATAACATAAATGTTGTAAAATTTAATTCATGTAAATCGCTGAACTTTAGTAAGATACGGTAGTGATTGCAAGTGCACAAAGCTGCAGCAAATCCTCGTACTCACTATCACGATAATGTAAATATTTGCGGCTCTGGTCAACACTGCTCGAGATATTTTCAGTCTGAAGCGTTATCCGCAAGCTTTTCGCTGACCTTAGCTGAACAGCGGACACGCACGAAAAAAAAACCAGATTTTTTTTATTAGTTTTAAGGTCCAGTACTGCATCATAATCAGGTTAAGACATCGCAAAGACTTATTGTTAAAGAGATTTTGTTGATGGTAAACAGAGTTATGAAATGGGGAAAGCCTTGGATACGTGACCGATTTCTACATAGGAAATATGTGAATTCAAAATTTCACTGACATTTATTTGCCTCTTTAGATGAACGCTAATCCCACAATCATTTCGGTCTCTCAGATGCACATAAGAGTAAAATATTGATATATAAAGGAAATTTCTACTTTACTTGTAACTTTTCAGCAATTATGTAGACATGATTAAATACACAATAGAATTCCGAGCGGTAGATCAAGAAAGGGAAAAGGCAAATTTTTAGATGTATTTTGGAGAAAAATTTCATTCATCTCTCCCACACATCGAAAGAAAAGGGTAAGATGAAAGTTAGAGCTTTATTGTAACAGTCCGACCAAGCACATCCAAGCTACATATTGTTACTCTTACCTAGAAATCCTTTGAAAAATTTGTGGAAGTGCATAAATGCAATTTCCTCACACGTCTGGGAAAATTTTTGAGAAATAATTTGAATCTGCATTTGACTATTACATTTCAATTTTTGACAAAATAGTTTCATACATTTCGTTCTGCCAACGAACTAAATTTTAGACACAATGCAAATGTCGTATGACAGAGATCATAAATAAAGCTCTACTCGCTTGCTGTTTCATGAAAATTTTGAAAGTCAGTTCTGCACTTGGTGCAATATGAATGCAAAAAACAGGAAATAGATCATAAAAATAATAATATATGGCAAAATAAAGACATGCCTCACATAATTACACAGGCCATCGTTTAGAACATCATAATATCAATGGAGAAATTTTCTTGCATCTTTGTTTGTGCCTCACGAAATCAAGATTGGTTGACGTCATCCACTTCAGTGAAAGAGCACAAAAGAGAACCAGGATGTTAAGAGAACATAGCCGTGTTCTGTTAACATCCTGGTGTTAACAGATGTTAATTGGATTAATTCTTGAAGTCAGGTCCAGATGTCCTCCAAGAACTACGTCATTAAGTTCAGGAACGAAACAAAAGATGTGTAGGATAGAAAACCACTACAAAATATATGTCTAGTTCCTGATTACACTGAAATTAAGGTTCGATCTTCAAAATTTACTGACGCCAGTTTCGGCGCATGAGGGGAAGAGAATGCAGGGTTAAGGTAAAGGTTCAAACTGATAAGCCAGTCAATTTTGTATCCGATCTGTATCTGTTACTTTAATTTCAGCTATTATTCTCCCATACTCCCTCTCCCTCCCCTCTTTTTTCAAAAAATTTGCTATGCCTCTCCTTTTGTGGTGACAAGACTTCGCTAAAATTGCTGTGCTTTTCAACAAAATATAATCTACCAAAAACTCGGCTTAACTATACGAATAGTCACAAATCAATGCTATTTACTGGCAGTTATTGTATGCATAGGTTAGGAGAGCACATTCGACCTACCGTATGGCTACCGTATCCCTATAGCACACATTGATGCATTATGTGAAAAATCTACCTCAGTGTGTGTGCGTGGGTCGCGCCAGAAAATATCCACTCAAGCAAGTTACGGCCATGATACGCTAAGTTATTATTAGCGAAAACTAGTTTTAATCACCTGAAATTGGTTCTATTTTGGTAATCAAGGTAAGCATTTTCTCAGAAGTAACCAACCTTTATTTGAATCACTCCAAAAGAAAATACGAAAAATAAACATGAAATTGCTGTAAGTGATGCACTATGGCGAATCTGAGCAGCAAAAAATTTTCTAGTGAGATCGATTTCCACAGATCAAAAAAATTGTCGATGAAGGTCAGAATAATTGAACTTTCAACAAAAATAATTTCTTATGCTTCATCTACAATTTCTAACGTCAGACTGGACAGCTATGCTTGATGTAGTATATTTTCTTTTTCGAAAATTGTATCTTACGAAACCACCTTGAGCCTAGCTGAAGTATTAAACTTATTTCATAACCTTTTTTTATTTTATTCAACCTTACAACCTTTTTCCATCGTTAGTAGAATAAAAGACCGGGAATTTTAAATATTCTGGCAGAAGAAAAAAAGCAAAAAAACCCCCAACGATTCATCTTTTGATGAGGCTGGGACTCTTATGCTTCAAAACCCCAGATCTAATTTATGCATTTTATATGTGAGAAAAAATTGAAGCTTGAGCTTCCCTTTTTATCATTTGACGAATCTGACAAGAGGAAAGTCATATTCCACCAAAACCCAAAATGTACGAATGACACATTTTGCTCGTGTAGTTTCCATCATTAATAACAAGTATTTCGTTGTTTTCTGCTCGTACAGGAAGATGTACACTTTAGCAAACACAAGTCAATTAATCTCTTTGTTGCGACCGACTCTTCAATCAATCTTCATCGAAACGCTCTCGTGTTGCTGGTGTAGTTTGCGCAAAGTACAGAATCTGCAAATAAAGCTAATTTGATTTGTGTACAGGATCAGAGCAGAAAAAGTGTCCAAGTCATAGATTCATCGACTCATATACATGCTTCCCCTTTTGAGATGACTTCCTTGGACACGTAAACCAATGTCAGTTTTCCGAAATACGACCCCACCAATAAACACGTTAAAAAACTTTGCAAATAACTTGTTTATTTCTAGATAATCAGAATAACGATCAAAAATTCGAACCAGTCCTGTAAAAGTTTTCCGGGAGCGTGGGTAATACAGCCACACACCATTTTTCTAAGAGTTTGGTGTGGCGGTAAGATTTGTTTGGATATTTTCCAAAAATTACCTAGCCTTCTGAAGAAAATCTTCAAGGAGCGGGAGTACCACCACACCACTTTTTTCAAAATTTTGGAGGTATAGGAAATGGAAGCATCCCATAGAATTTTTTATTGTTCACAACTTTGAGAGGAACGACATGAATACAGCTGTATGTCTACTTGGTAACTAATGGCTTTATTAACACATATTTTTTTACAACCAGTTCAATCTTAACATAATTTTTTTTACATGCAGTTCAACAGTAATGTCTTCATTATCGTTAGATAAGCTATACATGTCTACAGGGAGATTTATGGATTGTTGCTGATGAAAATTTGGAGAAAGTGAGAACAGCTAGCATTGAACTAAAGTTAACTTCTTGATGAACATCATTTTTTTTCAAAGGAGGTAATGGGATGCCTTTGGCTTTTGTCAGCAAGCTAATCAACAAGGAAAGAATACTAGGTCGATGCAGCCGTTTGTGACATGGTATGTATGGTTCATCCAGATTTAAAACGCTGAGTTCAAATTTGCATATACTATCTGCTGAATGGTCTTTTGAAAAGAGGTCTAACCATCTACAGCAAACTTAGGTTTGAGCAACAGGATTCGAACCTGCAACCATTTGCCTACAAAACGTCACGCTTACCATTTCACCATCCATTCAAAGATGGTGCACCTTTGTTTACTGCTATTAGGTTGGTGCAAAAGTTCTTGCGCACGATTTTCAAAAATTCATAACTTCCGATTTTTTCAACCAATTTGGCCACTTTTATTTTTGTGTGAAAGAGTAACTCATGCTCTTCAAAAAGGCATCTTAGCTGCTTGCTAATGATCATCTGTTTCATAGATACGAGCGATAGAAGAAAATTGGTCAAAATTTGAATTTTCTGTGTAGGGTCATAAAAAAACGGAAACTTGCAAGAAAAATCGGAGCAGTCAGTATTGTAGGTTCTTGTACCAGCTCTTTCTAATGGTGCAAAGTTTGCGTCGATTGAGCGTCTCTATCAAAAGTTATGATTTTCGAGCAAGCAATACAAAAGGGCGATTTTGATTTATTTTGGCATTTTTCAGGAAAATCATAACTTTTGGTAGAGACGCTCAATCGACGCAAACTTTGCACCATTAGAAAGAGCTAGTAAAAGGACCTACAATACTGACTGCTCCGATTTTTCTTGCAAGTTTCCGATTTTTTATGACCCTACACAGAAAATTCAAATTTTGACCAATTTTCTTCTATCGCTCGTATCTATGAAACAGATGATCATTAGCAAGCAGCTGAGATGCCTTTTTGAAGAGCATGAGTTACTCTTTCACACAAAAATAAAAGTGGCCAAATTGGTTGAAAAAATCGGAAGTTATGAATTTTTGAAAATCGTGCGCAAGAACTTTTGCACCAACCTAATAAATAATCCCCATGTGCGGGCTACGCTCAAATATGCAATTTCTCAAAAGACCGTTCAGCAGGCAGTAAATGCAGATTTAAGCTTAGCGTTTCAAACCAGGAAAAATCATGTATGTTTTGTTGCAAACTGCTGGAGCAACTTAGTAACCTCTCCTCGAAAAAGCGCGAAGTTGTTGAAAAAAAAACTGGATATATGAAAACTCTATCTACACAGTAGACAATAATTTATGACACGTGTATGGACTAGAAGTTATTGAAGATAGAACTCTAGGTGATCCATTTTAGAGACGTGGTCGCTTAACATCCAAAGCATCAGAAGAGACATCTTTTGCCAAACAGTTTCTTGTCTTCCCTCCTGCTCTTCCCTCAGTCTGCTCCGTTTTGCTCGTGTGTGCAAACACCTGAAAAAAAGTAGAAATTAAGACACATGGTTTCGAGAAAAGACAGCTGTTAAAAGCTCAAGATGAGTTGTGCAGCTACGCTTGACCCTGCAAGACATGTGGTAAGAAAGAAACCGAAATTAGAAATTTATTTCTTTTATGGATTTAAAGATGCAAAAGGGAAATTTAGAGCATTAGAGAGATCACATACTCGACTATTACTAGTTTTGTGACCACCGTTAGTACCTGAGTATGCCAGGTCTCAGCTATCTAACTCGAACTCTATAAAAAAATCAATAAATTGATGTTGATCGATAACCAAAAGTAGCGTGTGATCCTGTAGTGAATTTTTGCACTTGATAGTGTTCGGAAGAAATTTTGAGACCTACAAGCTAAACACACATGCACAGCCGTTGTCTTTTCCATAAAAAATGGGAAAGAAAACTGTCAAGATCAAAAAATTGCTTCCACTTTTTCTGCTTTTTGCACAGTGTGGAAAATCATCATCTACAACATCGGTATCAGCCTTTGCACTTTGAAAAAGGTTCATAATTTGAACATTTGAGAAATAAATTAGCTTAAACCCCGCGCCCCGAAGTCTTGTATTACTATTATGCGCAGTTATTTACCTGCAAACCTTCAAAAATGTTGTATGTATTTTAGTCAAAAAAATATCAAATTCCAAATTTCAAAAAATAAACATTTTTTTCTCTCTATCTAGTAGCATTCGATACAGAATTCATTGGCATGTTTACATTTTCGAGCGCGAGAAACAGTATGTTGTGGAAATATCTCATCTGCGATAGTCCGAAAAGCTACTGAAATTACAGCTAACACTTTTCTTTCCATCGTGCTCGCATATTTCCATCGTTTTCTGATTACATATGCGTAAAAGAGCTCATGAGCAAAAACCTGAACTTAGCCTCTTAACTTCTTATCTATTCATTACTGCTATAAATGGAGGCGAAACTCAGAAATATGACTCATTTTCTAGACAATTCCTTCACAATCAATTTCTTTTGCGTTTGTAAATGTTTTGTAACAAGGTTCCACACTCATTCTTCTGACATCAACGACGGTAAAGCCGGATTCAACTAGCGTTTATCGCAACTCTTGGATTGAGCCGAAGAAAAAGCTGCAGGACTCTATTACACAGGATATATTGTGGAAGAATTCCAGTGAACAATACTTCCGAAATCTCGCATGACTCTCGCGAGATGGAAAGAGAAAGGAGTCCACTGAAGCTTTTGCAAAGTTGAAATCGGTGTCAACCACGTGCTCCCTTTTTCGTAGTAGCTACGCATCTGCAGCGCGTCGGCACTGCGCAGCAACCTCCGATCATGCTCAAGCGGTACCCCTAACGTCACGGGGACCTAGCCGGGGCTTGAGCTGATCGGCAAGGGAGCTCATCATTGACAGGACTGTAAGCTAATTTCTATAGCCAATCCTGAACAAGTACATCATGCAGCAGACAAAGTGTCACAGGGATTTTATCGACCTCACCGGTTACAAAGTGAGCAGGTAAATTTCGTTGAATGCTGACGACATGGCTAAAATGATGCAAGCAAGCCTATTCGATCTAACGATGGATAGCCGTAAACAATCGAAAAAGACTTAGGTCTGATCACTCCATGCGGACCATGACCTTTTAACTAACACATTGTTGTGCAGACTTGGAATCACTAACATCACAAGGCCCTTCACATACAGAACTCAGTAACCGAGGAACGGCTCTTTTGAACCGCTCGTCATAGCGGTGCGCCTATGATTGGTCAATTCATCGGCTGCGATTGGCCAGGCTTCGAGAAGGGCGGAGCATAATTGGAGAAAGCGAACGAGTTGTGCGCAAGCATGCTTGTTCACTTTTGCACATCTATCGTGTCAAAAATGATGATCGGTATTGGCACAGATGTATTACACACTTTGAACCTTACCGGTTCTCCGTTTACTGGTACAACTCATCCACTTCCTAAGCGGCGCCGCACAGGCGAAAAGAGCGTCGCGCGCGAAGGGTTCGAAAGGCCCTGCCCTTTCAAAAATATGGAGCCGGTACAAGCTCTCTATTTCTTCAGAACACGAACTGCTTGGATCACATGCAAGGAAGCCCGTCTCTAAGCGCGATGACTCGATATACTTGTTCATAAAGGCTGCTGCATGACGAAGGCGCAATACCTTTGGGCGCGAACGCGGCTCTACTAGCCGCAGAGCGCATAAGACGCAGGATTTACAACGGCGAAAATACGCGCGCGCCGAGTTCGCACCCGCTCAACTAATACTGCTACTGCGCCTTCGTCATGCAGTAGCCTTTACATGTATATGTCATGCATGCAAAACACACCATTTCATAATCAAACCATTCCCATCCTAGTCACTTCCCAGCTCATGTGTGCTTTTATAAACTTTATCAGTACCCTTATCTTTCTCTTTTTTGAAATATCTATACGTACATCCATGTTTTGCTATCGCAAGTGATCCACCACGCATTCAGGACTAACATGTCTCTCCGAATAACCCCAGTGGACAACACTTACAGACTAATGTCGTACTCGGAAAAGAGGATAGCTTTCCAGGTGATGGTTACTCACCTTAATTATCTAAAGCAGAAGTGTAAGCCATTTACTTGAGCCTGACAATGTTGTTACCCTTCCTCTTCGTTATTGCTATTTTATATGATTTTGTGTTAAAGTGTAAAAGGGATGTAGGCGGATCTCGGCAAAATCTCTCCCGAATGTTTTTTTCTGCGCTAGTTTGCTCAAATGTGAGTGTGAGAATGTTACCCGTCGATTATTGAAGAGCCTTAATATGGTAGTCCAACAATTCACAAGTTCAAATTTAACATTTGTACACGTAAACATGCGAGTGAAGAAAAACATCGAAGATCTTCTTTTGATTTAGGAGATCTCTTGTGAACTATTAGGTTGTCCCAAAAGTAAACCGTATTTTTGGATAAATCAAAATATTTTCGTTTTTCTGGCGGACTTGGGGTACCATTCGATAGAGCGAAGCAAGCTCTGCAAAATGACCACCGGGTCCGCCTAAGTCGCATTCCATATAAAGTTTGAAGCCAAAATCGAAAAAAAATCTTTCACCTGAAAATTGGATTTTCGCGAGGGAAAACCCCACGGACCTCCAACTTGGTCATTATACAGTAGGCACATAGTTATACTCAAATAAGCTTTTGCCGAATTTTTTCCGAGCATAGAAAGCGAGAAACAAAAATTGTTCAAAAATGGCAAACTCCGCCCCCAGCCCCTCCCACATATGCTATTGTATACTACAAGCCTTACTAAGTACAATTTCAAAACCTTGCCCCTGTCTGTGCTCTTATAATGGAGAAATACCAAGTCTTACATAAAAAACCCGAAAAAAAGTGGCATTTTGGCATTTTGAGATCCCCTTTGTTTCTCAATTTTGAACTCCAGATGAAATCAAAAAAAATTATTTTTCGATACTACTATGTGTCTACTATATAAGGACCAAGTTGGAAGTCCGTAGGAATTTTCTGGAAGGAGATCCGATTTTTAGGGTAGGTGAAAAATTTTGATTGCTGGATCCAAATTTTACCTGGATAGCGACTTAGACGGTTCTTTGGTGGTCGTTTTGTAGAGCTTGCTTCGCTCTATCGAATGGTGCCCCAAGTCTGCCAGAAAAACAAGAGCAGTTTGATTTATGCAAAAATACGGTTTACTTTTGGGACAACCTATTATATACAACTTATGCTGTTTTCCGTGATATCGTCGTCCCATAATCTCATTACGCTTGTCTTGAGTAGCAGAACAAAGGCCGCCAGTTTGGATTCCCTCCGCGCGCATCTGGTCTTTGTGCAGTGTTGATGCATGTTGTTCCAGGACAGTCCGCAGAGGCGGTCCAAACTGGCGGCGTTCGTTCCCCCTACTCCTTGTCCGTCGCAATCCCTTTGCATCAAAAAACTACAAAGGGAAGTCAAAGCTTACAGCTCATCCCCTCTTAAATAGTAGTTCAGCAAAAATTAATTGAAATCAGAGGTAAATAATCGAATACTCGTTCTTCAACGCATCTTAATGTCAGGTTGCAACATATCAAAATGTGTGGAGTACACGTATAAATACAGAACGTTAAGAAAATGGAGAAGCAACAGAAAGATAGGTAGCTTATAGAATGGCGAGACAACGGACCATCTGGTCTCAAAGCGCTATAAAATTCGACTGCAAACGATCCTATGCCGCACGCCCCATCATGTAAGAGCACGCATCGAGGCAGTACCCTTGTATCAGTGGAAGTGACGGGTTCTAGGTGGGGATGGGGTCCCGCGCTGCACCTCTTTCGCGGATATGCTCTCTAATCATTTTCGCACGCTTAATTAGCGATCGAATCTCCGCCTTTCCCACGCTCGTGGGGAGGGGAGGGGGGGGGGGGGGGACACAGAGGAGGTGCAGAGCCTAGGAGAGGCGGATGCGCGGGACCCGAGCTCCACCTGGCACCCGTCACTCCCAGTGGTACAGAGAGTAATTGTTGCACAGTCTTTGACTTGAGCTACTCTCCCTTTCACTTTAGCCCCATGTGGCTATTAAAAAGATTGACTCAAACCAAAGTTGTTTTCAGGCGCGAATTCGCGGCACGCTCAGCTACGATGTAGCTCCAGCCAAGGGGTTCATAAATTGCGGTGATATGGTCATACTAAAAATTCGCCAAAAAACGGTTGATAACATTATCGGCAAATTGATTGTCGACTGGGTAGAATCCAATGACGAGGAAGATGTGACGTTAGTTCTGCAAAGAAGAACCAGTCGTTGTAACCACATTATCTGCCCGTTCAATTCGGAAAATGTTCGAAACTATTTCGTCGAACCATTCGATCCTCTCGGAGAAGAGAGACACCCTTGGCTGATTTTGAAATCTGGATATGAAACTGTCGCAGCAAGAAACGAAGACCTAATCTGGTGAGTAAAGGTTACTATTCGATATGTATGACATAAAGTTTGTGTTCTGCATGAACTTCCATAGAACCTGTATTCCGCAGCTCAGCTCTGCGGTGCCTTAGCGCGTTTCTCATAGAGCATCCTCTTGATGATCCACAACGCATCAAAGGCAGCAGAAGGGCTGACTGCGTTTGTAAATCTGGAAACTTCTCCGGACGTAAACCCTAGAAATCTCTGCGTCGCACACTTTTCGCATTCCGGCATTTCTACAGCACTTTGATGCTGATGTAAAGCGTCAACGGCAACAAAAGGGCCCGTTTGCGGAGGTAAAGACTAGTGCCAGAGAAGGTGGTTGCCCAAGAAAGCGAAACGTGTGCGAGCGTACGCTCTCTAATGATGAGATGCCTGACGTAACCTTTGATTCAACTGGCTTGGCGGCTGGAAGGCGGAGCTCTTTGACCTAATTAAGGCCGCTCGCGCCCGCAACGAGTCTGCGTCTCTCTCGCGCGCGTGCTCTTTGGCCATTATCTAGCCTTAATTAAATCACAAAGCTCCGCCTTCCAGCCGCCAAGCCAGTTGGATCAAAGGCTATGTGCCAAAGAAGCGTCTTCGCCAGGGAGCAGCCTTTAGTTACTGAATCTCCTTTGAGACGATTGTAATGATTTACAGCAACACTGTTGCCAATATCGTTGACGAACTTGCCAGGTTCTCACTGTTGCTGCAAAAAGCCCCCCTGTACTGTTGCCTATCATGTGCGCTGGAAAAAGAGGCAGGTTTACCTTTCCATGGTATTTTTTATATCAATCATTTCACATTGGCGTTCCCATGTTTTAAGGTCCTGGATAATATTCAAGACTATATAAGGTCATCTAGAACGAAAAAAATCCCAGTTCTTTTCCTCGTCGACGATAGTAAGTTTACCACCGCTATTTTCCTAAACATCAGTTCATGTCAGTCTCTGCTATGATATAGGTGATGGGGAACTCATCAACTTTTTCAAGAAAAAGTTCTCGCAGGGCATATGTCTCTTCGAACTCACTGGACAACAAATCATAGAACTCGATTGGAAACTTTGTTTGAGGTAGATACACGCGATTATGTTGGCTATCGTTGTTGACTACTTCAATAACTTGTAGTAAGTGCTGCTTGGAATTCATCAAAAAGCTATGCGACTGGGAAAGCAGAGAAGATACAATATTTGAATTTCAGGTATGTTCGTAGACAAAAATAATCGAAGCAGCATACTATTACCTTTCATAGCTTGGCAAATGACGGTAAGAAGGATCGCCCATTCCTACTCGTCGTGAAAATCTTAAATACAGTCGAGTAGAGTCGCCGGTGGATCTAATGCCCTAGCGGTGCCGAAAAAATGCGGTAAGATTTGCGCGTGAAGAAATAACTATCATCGATTCGTTGACTGCACCGAATGGACATCACTGCGGAGCACGCGCCACGATGTAAAACGCTTGCCCCAATAAAACTTGCCTGTATCGTGCTATCGCAACAATTCAGCTGCGCCGCGCGTAGCCGCAACGTTTCAGCAGTCCGAGCGCTCAGTGAATCAAAACGATACACCCGTGATGCCGGCAATTTGCGCGCCCTTAAAAGCAGTGTCCAGTCAAGTCTCGGCGCATGGGTTTTTTGCCTGGAAACTGACGAGGGGATCCTAGCTAAGACACTGCCCAAACAGCAGCGCAAATCATTCATTCACGGCTGGGAGAAGCATTCCCAAACACTCCGCGCCTGCGCCGTGACTGTCTCGCAAGTTAGGATGGGTACCAGCGCGAGCTATTAAAGCGAGTAAAGTTATTTCCGGGTGGTCACGGCGCAGGCGCTGAGGGTTTAGGGATGGATTTCTCAGCCGTGAATGAGTCATTTGCGCTTCCGTTTGGGCAGTGCCTGTTATGGGCCCCTCACCAGTTTCCAGGCAAAAACCCATCCGCCCAAATTGGCCTGGACACTGCCTTTAATGCCGGCATTTCAGGCATAGGTTTGTTCACCGCAAATTGAACCGCATTTTCTCGGCATCGCAGGGACTATATTTGCCGTCACATCTATTCAACTGTAGACTTCGGTATATTTATGTCCTCAGCAACTCAAAGAAGAAGATTTTTGGAGCTTCCGTCGAAAGTAATTCAGATTGATGCAAAAGTTTCGCCATTTTGAACCATTCCGAATTATCCGTAAAGTAAAGATAAACAAATACTTCAAGCACCCGTGCAAAATTTCTTCCTCTTTCCACAATCTAATTCCAAAACTCGATTTCACATGCATCGCTTCAAAACGTGAAGATTCTGAACTTCAAAATGCTACGGTGCGTCCTAATTCTAAAAGGTGACTAATTTTACAAAATTATAGCAAATATGCTAGAGTATAGCTGGTCAAAAGGAAGAAATCCTGCATCGGATATTGCTCAGCCTCGCTTATCCTTATTTTACAAATTCGCAGATAGATTCTCAAAAACTGACAAAGTTTTTGCACCGATTTGTAATAAGGTCGTGACGATTTGTCGATGTATCCTTCTGTGATGTTCATTAATTTTCTGTTAAATGTTGGTGACTAGACGGCAACAGCGTCAAATGCTGATTTCATAATCGATCTCCTGTCATACACAACTCTGTGAACAAAACGCGGCTGTATACTCCGATAGTGAAATAAAATCACGCAGATGTCATTGTTGTAAACTATCTCAATAAAGTTGGTTTATAGCTTACTTTTCGCAAGATTAAAGTGTTTTGTAAGCAGCTGCAGCGCAGTATTTTGCGCACGAAATGTGCTCAGATATCTTGGCACGGTCATAATTTTATCAATCCCATAAAAAGGCTTTCAGGATGATACATCCGAAAAAGAATTTCGTCTACAACGATTTCGAGAAAAGATTACACAAAACCTAGAAAATCTTCTGCTGATTTATTTCTTTCTGCTGCGACAGCAAAGTGAATCAAATGTATAAATAAGACAATCACATTATTAGATGACTTCAGCAAACAGTAAAGCTCATTGAAAGAAAAAAGAGCCGAGGATTCTGCATCCATCCCTCATAACAACAGTGATGATTTTAGAAGTATAGGAAGGAGAGACAACGATTATTCGTACATAAGAGACATGTTCAGTACTGAAGGAATGGTAAGCACTTCGTAGAAAATAGCCAAAACTCATCACCAGGATGAGAACATAGGGCTATGTATTAGCTAAAGCGAAAGTGATTGCAAGGGAGATGAGCCATGTACAGTTGATCCCACACTGTCAACAATGCGCAAAGTTATGCCGTGCACTGGGTGATTTTTGGTTTATATATTTCACAAAGCAGAGCTTATAGTACATATGCTGTTGGAAAGAAAGTAGAGCTGAATTAGGACACTTTACTGTTCAAAGTAGCATTGCGCCGGCGGGCCGGCCTAATTCTTGCACATACCGTTCACTGGCTTCAAATTTCATCAAGTGCTTGCAAGCACCTGTTGAGTGAAAGCTTCTCAACAGTCAGTAGTACCTATTCTTCTTCTGCGAAAAAGCAAAGGTATACTACTGTATCAATGTGCATGGAATATTACTAGTTCGCAGAGGTCTAACAGAAAGCGAGATCGCACACGACATGAAGGGCCTGGGGCGCATAAGGTCTTTGAAGCAGGCATATCAAAACTTAACGCCACTAAAGCCTCTTCCCACAGCTTTGTGCACTGTACAGTGGAAGTCAACTAAAGCCTAAGGATGGAGCGGGAAACCAGTCCTATATAAGCACGAAGAAAGCTACAGTGAGCTCAGAAAGATACCGACTATGAATTATAATAAGACCAGTGTTTGATTATCACAAATTGCGAGAGTTAAATCTTAGATTGCTAAAGGTATTGCTAGCATAATGGAAAACTAAGTACACAGGAATAAATCAAGTCCATTGTAGACTATGTGAAGCATCCGATAAAAGAAGTTGAGCGGAATCAATGTTCAGAGACAGTATTTTAATATTGGGGAAGTCAGGAGAGTTTTTGAGAAGAGCTGCAGTGAAGATCAAGGTATTTGTTGTAAGAGGATAGTACGGAACTATTCCTACCAATCACGTTCACCTCCTAGTCTGATCACCTTCAACAATTTGTTGAATCACATGTGAACAAAGTTCAGAGGCATGATTACATCACGATAGTAACGAGGAAGACAATAGATGTGATCACAGCACGAGCATGCAACTAGAAAGCGAAAAGAAGGCAGAAGAGAGGAGTTATACACAAACAAACTCAAACCTCTGTATCTATCTCCATTACGACAGATGATATAGGCATTGCTAACGGACAATCCACTGGAGTTTTACCAAGGCGCTTCAGAAGAGCGCAGATCTTCACGATGTAAGCATGATGCTTGTGAGTGTACTCTACACAATCCCACATCATATGAGCTATATCGTGGTCATCCTTTGTTCCTAGTCCAATGTCCTAAAGATCACAATCCAGTTCAACATAATACGATACAAGCAATGAAAGTACGTTTTACGCTTACCTTATGTAAAGGAGCACTGAGACGAAAGAATGGCACACCAATTGCATTGCACCAAGATCTTGAACGGTCAACGGGAGCTCCTTCGGTTGCTGTCACCTGCGCGAAGACAGCTATTCAAGTTCCAAAAAAGGCTGAAGAGAATCGTACCTGATCGACAAGGATGAGACTAAGATTCTTGAAAGTGAAGGCACTCGAGATGGGATTCATGATCTCAACATGTAAGGGATCCAACGGCGACAACGGTATTTGACCAGTTCCTAAGGACAGAACGCATCCAATTTCCACTTTATTTTCTGGACGTCGCTGTAATGATTGGTAAACATTAGCATCATCAACAGATTTTAAAAGAGAAGAGAAGAGAGAGGAGAGAGAGAGAGAAAGAGAGAGAGAGAAGAAAGAAAGAAAAAAAAGAAAGAAAGAGAGTTGGGAAATTTCGTAGCTCCGCGGAGAATGACGAATGAAGATTTCTCCATCAGATTTAACAGATTCTGCTACATGATAGACCAATTCGTGTTTAGCAAAAATTCAATTTTGAAACTCTCTTCCACATGATGCGGAAAGTGTCGACTGAATGATTTTTTGCTACGAGCACAACAGATGGATGAAAGAATCTTGGCGGTAACCTACCAGATAAGTTTGTATTCCGTTATATAATTGCACTTCTGCGAGGAGATCGAGGGCTGGATTGTTGGCGATTATACCACCGTCTATATACTTGTCATCCACAGGAGGAAAGAACATAGGAGCGGCCGAAGTTCGCCTCAATGCTTTCCAAGCGGGAATGTCTGAAAAGAAAAGTGATTTCACACCGAATAATATACATCGTTTTATTGACGATATGTTTTCTGGAGACACTGAAGATAAATAAGCCAGATGAAGTCAAAATCGAACACTATAGCCTTCAAAATATGACTCATTTCGAAAAACAGAATCTCTCGCACAATTGCCATTTTACACTGCTGCATGACAACGAAACCAAAGTTGGACACAAAAATAGAAGCTGCATGACAGAACATACCTGCTGGATCAACAAATCCTAATTCCATATTTTCTTCATCAGAAAGCGGCAAGCGATAGTTTCTCATAAACTCCAGTTTGACTGGGAAGTAATCTGCTTTTACAGTTGAGATCAGAAGCCTGCAAGATGGTATCACTGGCTGTAAGCATGACAAGAAGAGTCTGAAATTATAACAAGTTTCAATCTACCTTGGATATTTGATATCGTCTAAGGATTTTTCCCCGATTGCCTCTTTCATGAACATTTCGAGCACAGAGGCGTTGTAAGGTCGCGTCCATCCGTCGAAGATTAAATCTTTGAATCGTAAGTAGATATGCTGACATTCTCTCAATGTTCGGCCTGAAATAAAATTCGAGTGTGTTTGTTTACGTCCTCCTAATAAATAAGCATCATGACTGTGGAATGATTGAAGGATACCTTGAGCAAGAGCCGTAGCGATCAATGCACCGGTAGATGTGCCCGCCACCCAGTCGAAGAATGGGAAGATTGGTTCATTTAGTTCCCTTTCGATAGCCATCAATGTCTACAAGATGGGGAAGTCAGCAGAGATATGGTAAAATAAATATCAGATACTAAACATTCCGATAAATAGACTTTCGCCCTCTGCAACGTGGCACACATCAGTCTCACTAAGTATTCGTGACTTTCTCTTTTCTTCAAAAACGGATCTTAGTCTTGTAGAGGATTCAAGTATTTAACGACACCAATATCTACTTTCCTTGCCACCAGCTCTCCTCGCCTCTCACGAGATCATCGCGCACAAAAGAAATACCCAACCATAATAGGTTGGAGCAGATATTCTCCAAAAAAAAGGAAATTACCTGAAGAATGACAAGTCCTCGAATCCCACCCCCGTCCAAAGACAAAAGATTGACCATATTCGTAGGCTTCTCATGACGAGCTGCCAGATCTTCAAGGCGAGCCATAAGCTGTTCATAAAACATCTGTAAAGAGTTAAATGAGGTGATTCACTTCTGCAACCCGTTTTCGACCTTTTGGATATAATCTCTTATCGGATGGTCAACGTCGACAGAAGCCGGATAATCTTGAGCTGAAAGTGCAGTGCTGCTTGACCGCGGGCTTTCAGAATCAGACAAAGCTGATGACTAAAACAAAACAGCTTCACAATTCGAAAAGATGAAAGAACAAGCAGACCTTCAGTAGTCCCACCATCGCCCCGTTAACGCACCCAGACACGCATCCCACTTTACTCGGTCCACAAGTTCGCGCACCACATTTTATTAGCGCGTCCAATATCGACTTTCTAAATCAAATTTGAGTAACAGACAATGAACGGGAAAGTGAACAAGAAGCTTACTCTCTTAATCGTGCAGCCAGATGTCGGGGACTGTCCTCATGACTATTGCTGATATTGGGATCAGCTCCCAAGCAAAGCAAAAGCCTTGTAGCCTAAAAGTACTTTTGAGACGGTGTTTGAAGAACATTTCATGGCTATTCCGACATACAAGCTTGAATTAGGAGCCCTATTCGGATTCGACCCATCGAGATCAGAAATCGAATTAGTATAAGGGATGACTGTGCTAAAAGGATAAAAGCAAGCATAATCGCTCACCTCTAAATTTCTTTTCGAGACTGCAACGTGTAGAGCCGTATTTCCATCATTATCCTGTGAGTCTATGTCGCAAGCATATGAAAGTAAGGTGATCATCAATCCAATCTCACCCTGAAACGGCATTAAACTAGATTGATATCTAATTTTACAGTATACGAAAATATGACTTTGTGTGTGAATATATGAAGTGGCGTTTGACCAGCGTTGTTTCTAGCATTCAAGTCCACATCCTTGCACTTCAGCAATAACAAGCCCATCAAAGGTGTTTTGTGCGTAGCAACATGCAAAGCAGTGTTGCCTGATGAGTCTCGTTCGGCAACAAGGTCGGGAGAAGCTTCGAGAATGGCTTTGATGATGCTAAAGAAACCGAATCTAAGCTTCAGTTCAAAGAGTGGTTCAAAATTCATGGAAAGCACTGGTTATATAGTTAATTTTACAAAGATATATAAATGTAACAATTTAAATTGCGCATATTTAAGAGAGGTTTCATATGTATTTCGACGCAGAACAAAACCTCCTTCCCGCTAGAGAGCGTGGAACCCGGAACAGGAGGTAAAGAAATAGGCGAGGATGCATAATCATCCTCTCGCCATAAAGAAGTATGAGTGAGGCTAAGACCCCGGCCAGACTTCGCCCAAAAGCGCTCAAAAGCGCCCAAATTTCTCTAGCCTCTCTTTTTCTCTATCTCTTCTCACACGAGAAAGTGAAGAGACATTAGAGAAATTTGGGCGCTTTTGAAAGCTTTGAGAGAAGTCTGGCCGGGCCTAAGAAAGCAAAGCCCTTGAAAAAATTGAAGTTTGTTTATTAAAAATCTTTTACGGGTTCAAGACAGTAAGCAATACGTAAATATGTATTGTAAAACTCTGTGGTATTAGTAAGGGTTGATTTTCTAAGGTGACAACGCCCAACTACATCTTCTCATATGATGGCTTAATTTCATTAGCGATGTTTTCACCAACAGCATCTTCTAGAAGGTTAAAAATCCTTAAAAAACTTACTCAGTGTTCTTTCCTTTACTCTGCATGGCTTCAAACAAAGGATTACGTCCTTGCACGCGCATACTTAGCTCCGCACCAAAGTTCAACAAGGTAGCAAAACATCGTGGATTCGCTGCTCGTATAGCCAACATTAGCGGCACATAGCCTTCATTATTAGTCTGGTTCAGCAGCACATGACAGCCTTCGAACTCCCACAGAAGCTGCAAACAACAACATGAATTCTGCTACTTGTACTGAAAAGCACGCGAAAAATAGATATGGCCTAACTTGGTAATGACAACTGGAAGTGGGCAAAAATTCTGAGGCTTCCATTTGAATCTTTCTAATTTCACTGCGTAAGCAGACATTGGCAACAAGAGAACAAAAGAACGGTTTTAAATGTAGTGCACTTGCAAAACTGAGGTACTATAAAGCCAAAACTGCTAATACGCACGACGAAAGCGTTATAGCAAAAAATGAGAATCTTTCAAAAATGAAAAACAACACATCCAGTTATAAGCAAAAATATGCTAAGAAGGAAAAGTCGATGAAGGAAACCAAGATGCACAGACCTCGAGCATCTGCACACTGGCAAGAGAGGCATAGTGGATAGCATTGTTCCCATTGATGTCTTTGACGAGAGGATCTGCACCCAACGTTAGCATTCTTCGCACTATTTTCAAGCGATGCATCTCAATGGCCAAAAGTAGAGGATACTTTCCTTCTGGCTGCACCATTATTTTCATCAGACTAAAAGTAACATAGCGATTTTGAAAAAATGAGTACGCATAGTGTGATCTGGTACCTTTGAAATGGAGTGTTCACAGTCTTGAGATATTCGACATTTGCATCAGTAAAAAGATCCTGACGATCGCATGCTATCGCAATATGGATCATTCGATACAGCGGATACTGCTTCAACTTCGCCATCAAGTCTTGAATGGATTTCTTTGCGTCGTTCGATCGATCTTGAAAAAGGGAATGTTACTATTATTAAGAAATTACATCATAAAATGATAATCACCTATAAGTCTAAATAGGATGTAACACTCCAGACATCTACGGCAAAGATCCACAGCATCTTCCACAGCACTGGCCCGAAACAAACTATAGGCAGGAGAGTTTGGAGACTCTAAACAGACATGAATCATCATGATCCTAGGCGTACTCGACCCACCGGTCAAGGAAAACACAACGTGATGTAGAGGCTCCGCTGGTTTGTTTTTACATGATCCTTGGACAACTCGTAATAAAGATCTATGATCAGTGGTGGGAAAAACAACCTAAAAATATAATTTGAGAGCAGCGCAAAAACAACTTTGCATTTCATGTAGCGCATCTACATGTATACATGCACAGTATATAATCGCCGTAGGATCTTCCCCGGGAGAGAGAATGGGGAGAGGACGAGGAGATCCAGAAAATTCACACTTGTAGCTTTTGGCAAGCTTAAACTTTTAATGAAAAAAAGAATCACATTTTCCTTCGTAGCACCTAGTTTACTAAATATCAATGATAACTTTTTTGATTAAAGAGGGTATGACTGCAGCCGCGCTCCCGCTTGAAGTGGCGAGAGGATCAAAGGTCGGGGTTATTTTTGGGTGTATCCAGAAAGAAAAATGTTTCACCATCTAAAAGCTTAAACGTAACGTAATAATTTCGTATTTAAAAGCAGCATATCTGACAATCGTGGTGAAGGTTTCACAGAATTCTTGAAAAAAAAACTCGATATAATCTTAGATTTTTGTAAACTGGTACATGGAAGCTACTGTAGTGTTACATTGAGATTAGATGAACGACCCCTTTGTAGGTGCAGAGGCTAGCCCAAGGGACTTCTAGGAACGAGAGATGAATGCATCTTTTAAGCACAAAATATAAAAACTATTGCTTCGACCAATGATACTGTTGCACGAATTGTGATTTTCATAAGATCATTGGATATTATAAAGGACAGCTTGAAAATCTATGCGAAAATACATACCTTATGTGCCCGAAGAAGCTCCAATGGAAATAAAGTGATTTCGCTGGGATCGGTTGGGATCCAGTAATCTTCTCCAAAGATACTTTCCCTCGCCGTCGACCAAAGTTCTCCTAACTTCGAAGAGACTTGCGCCAGGGAGAACAGACTGAAACGCTTGATTAGAAAAAAATGGCACACAAAGATCTCATGTACGAGGTATGAAGATATGTTTTACAAAACCAGGCCGATGACGCATAATGTGGGTGTATGTCAAGAGGCGCGATTTTTATTGCCAGCTGGAGAGCAAATAGCACATATTTAATGTTTTATAACGTTTGGGTGTCTTTTAGAGTTTAAGGGAGATATATTAGGTTGGCCCGAAAGTTCTTTCGCACCAAATTTAAAAATTCACAACTTCTGATTTTTCCAACGATTGGACTGCTTTTATTTTTGTATTGAAGAGTAAGTCATGCTCTTTATAATGACATCTTAGCTGCTTACTAATGTTCATTTGTTGCATAGATAGGAGCGATAGAAGAGAATTAGTCAAAATTCGAATTTTTCGTGTACGGTCATAAAAAATCGGAAACTTGCAACAAAGTGTTATAAGTTCTGTTACCTGCTCTTTCTGACTGTGCAAAGTTTGCGCCGATTAAGCGTCTCTATGAAAAGTTACGATTTTCGAGCAAGCAATACAAAAGGGCGAATTTGATTTATTTTAGCATGTTTCAGGGAAATCATAACTTTTCATAGAAACGCTCAATCGGCGCAAACTTTGCGCCGTCAGAAAGAGCTGGTGAAAGAAACTACAATACTGACTGCTCCAATTTTTGTTGCAAGTTTCCGATTTTTTATGACCGTACACGAAAAATTCAAATTTTGACCAATTTCTTCTATCACTCCTATCTATGCAACAAATGAACATCAGTAAGCAGCTAAGATGTCATTATAAAGAGCATGACTTACTCTTCAATACGAAAATAAAAGTAGTCCAATCGGTTGGAAAAATCAGAAGTTATGAATTTTTAAATTTGGTGCGAAAGAACTTTCGGGCCAACCTAATATTAGATGGCTGCACCAGTTTTCCAGTCTTACTAATTCAAAAGCGATTCAAAATGAAAATTTTGAAGGTCAAAAACTCATAAAAATGCAGTCAATACCAAATTTGCATTTATTTTGGTCGGATTTTCAGCAAAAGCCTTCAAACTCAGCAAGTAGTAACTTTATATGACTAGTGAACCCATGTACTTTGTCTGGTGCTTTTTAAAGACTTGCGTAGCCCGTAACTTGAGTTTTGAGTTGGTGACACACAGAGAAATCGCGCCTCTTGACCGTCTCCCGCATAATGTTAGACATAATCGCTAGCTAGACTGCGTGCTTATGTCTGATACTGATTAACCAGAAATGTTGCCACTAATGCTTGAACTCAAAAAACTAGCTCGGTGCACAAGATGGCAGAGACATGGAAGTGCTGCAATTTAGAGGAGATACGCTCACTGAAATGTTCACAGAATTGCATCCATTAAAAGCATGCATACAAAATGAGTGTCGCCCGTGCTGGAAGAAGAGATTCGGTCGCCCGAAACTGCGCGAGACATAAAAGAGCTCCGAAGGAAACGCAACTGCTCTTTCACAAGTGTTACGTTCAACGTATTTCTGAGAATCCAGGGCATAACTTGAAAAAACTGCCTTTGCAAGTTGTGATGTGGTTCATATCATTTCATTCGAATATTGATACTGAAGTGCAAGCTATGCTGATATGCAAAACGGCGGATAAACCCTCAAAAAACCAAGGCCACAGCCAAAAAAGGTCAACTATAAATCAAATCATTGAAACGAATACCATAAGCAGAGAACATTATAGGAATTATACATATCCACGTGCAGACGGATATCTCTATATCCTAATGGACATATGTTTCGTGCTATGCCCCGTTTTGAAGTTTCGTTTCTTATTCGACATTTTGTCTGAGGTTTACTTTTCTTTTCTTTTTGGTCTACCTTGAGAGTAAAATAAAATGAATCAAAATAGAATAGAATAAAATACAAAGCACGTTCAACAAAGGAGGAAACATTGGACACCACCGCATAAGCAAACAAGAAGAAAATTCAAACACATAAAATAATAACAGTGGGCCACAGGGAAAGCACGAGCACTTGCCTAGGCCGATTATTTCGCCCGTTCGTAGGTGATGAAGGTGGCGTTTGTAACTCCTTTTCATCCTCCAACTCCATCGAATTTTTACTGTCTGTCGCATTTAAAACAACACCTACAACAAAACTATAAACTGCATAGTATAGACGGGAAAAAAGTGCAGGCAGTACCTTTCTCCGACGCCTGATTTGATTGCGGTTCCGCTCGTGGTTTGACCGCTCCCTCTTCCTCCCCCATCGCAGTTCCAGGTGCGGAGACCCAATAGTTCAGTCAAAGTTATTGCGAATGGGTCTAAAATTGAGTTCTCTTTGGTTTAGCACTATTCTCTTCATCGCAACAAAATGAGAATTATTCATAAGATTGAGATCGATTGCAAAGTACTTTAGACGTAAAATAGAAGCAAGGCAATGGGAAAAGAAACACAGGTATGAATAAATGACAACGATGACGACGTTGCAAAAACTGACTGGATGTCGAAATTTGAAGATTTGCTGAAAAGAATTGTCTTTGTAGCAGGAAGACAGCGTCGGAGCACGTTTCTGCATGCGTCAACGGCGATTAATACGATTGCACTAACGCATAATTTGGGGTTTATTCCGTTGTGCCAAGGTTTTGTAACTAACCGATGTTAGACTAATGAGTGTTTCCCAATGTAGAGTAACGCACAAGGAAATTTTCAGGAAATACTCTGTGCAACAGATCGTGATTGCCCTGTTTGTCTAGGAAACGCACTAGCATTTCTATAACTCCACTGTAAAGTTTAGCTTTAGGTAAACGTGAAATTGTCAATAGTGAAGTAGTCTAAATTACAAGCTTCTGAGATAGTGTGTCGAAGTGCAACTTAGCTAGAATCTGCCGAAATTTCTAGATTTTGCATGCGGTGAGAGCTCGAAACTATCAATGTTTTTTCGCAATATGTGAAGGCCAAAAGCAGATTAGATCACTTCAGCATGACAACTTCAAATAAACACCTTAATTTTGCTGAAAGCAACGTGTTAAAACGACCGAAAGGCAGCCACGTTAGGAGTTCATATGGGAACGATTCTGGGGGATGCACGATAGATCCCATTGGTAGATACTGGATTTTTGAAATCAGTGATGTGAAAGTGATTTGTTATCCCAAATTACCCATCAGAAACAATCAGTTTACTCGGTCGCAAGCACTTACGAGACGAAACTACTACTGTGAGCTAGACTGACAAAAATTGATTGTGGTCATTCATAGCGGATAAGGGAGACTCGCAGACATCCCTGTAGAAACAGCCACCATCTAAACTAGAGAGCAATAAAAGAGGACTGAAGAACCAGAGCATACTTGATTTTGGAGAAACTAATTTCTCAAGACCAGTGGCGCAAAAAATTGCATTGAACATTCTTCCCAAACGCAAAACAGAATTTTACTGCGTTACTAATGTATCAAGTGTACCAGAAGTTCAAAGGAGAATTTTGGATAGTCAATCAGAGTCCGTGATCATGCCTCCTTAGTTTGTAGTAGTCTAGTCATGATAGTTGAAAAGGGTATGGATTCGCTAACAGCCAAGACTGAGGATAGCGAGTCAGCCTAAGAATCCCAAAGATCTTATCATGCTGCCAATGGAATTCTAGTCTTGCATGGCGCTGTCTAAACAGTTTACAAATGACTCAATCGCTTTTCTCAAAAGCTGTCATTGCTCAATTCTCCATTCGGAGCCCATCCATGTTAACGCTCGGATTAACAGTCCATATAAATACGTGAGGAATCATGTTCTACTTAACTACTGTTTTCCAAATATTCTCTGTAAATGTTGCATGCAAATGCATATCGTGCCACCGCCCACGCCTCCGAAAATTTTTAAAGGCTGTTTGAATTTCAAAAAAATTAATAAAAATAATCATATGAATACACACATACACATGTTTATATTCATGTAAGTAACTTTCAAAATTCGCAACCACCCATCAGTTGCGGACGAGGAATTGGGAGACGGATGGTAAGTCGTGAACGTACGGGCCAGCAACCGGTCACAAAATTTATAAGTGGTCCACAATATACCGCCCATAATTGTCAAAAAAGCCAAGCTCTGGCGGCGTTCACCGAAATTGCGGAATTGTCACATTTTGGTTCAGGGTGGTGAATCCTGAGTCTAAAGGGTACTGTCCCACAAAGCTCTGCGAGGCATATTTTTTGATATATAGAAGTTCCCGTCTGTATACGATAGGTGCACGATAAGCGACTAAACTTAGGAAACTTCTAATAAAGTGCTTACGGCTGGTTATTCAGTGTGATTATCCATTACACGCTGAGTAACCTACCGTGGCCAAACTAAGAATCTGAGCGCATACGAACCGGCAGCGGGTATAGAGAATCTTGGCGCCGATAGTTTGAAAAAGCGATTTTTCAAGGCCTATGAACCTATGGCCCCAAAAGCATGAAGCTCGATGAAAATCAAAAATGTCAAAGCCAGGACTGTAATCTTCGTCAAAATCATCTTGTGAGCTTGTTGTGACAGCAATTCAATTTTGCATTTCCAAATGCATAAACAATGCAAGTAACTGAAGAACGTAACCTGCCCCAACTTTGGAAATTTTGATTTCGATCTGCTGAAAACCACGTTTCACATTCACATAATTACTTGGTAACGTTACACCACCAGAAATTTGATGTAATGCTCGGATTGCAGTTCAAATACCACTCCAATATGAGCTACATGGTATTCCTTCCAAAATATTCTCTTCAAAAACTCATAACTTCTTGTCTTCTTCATCGACATGCTTGCTTTTATTTTTCTGAAAGATTAAATCATGTTCTTTATAGGAAACTAGCTTGCTTACCCGGCCGCTCGGCCCTTTCAAAACACTGCAATAAAGTTCCCATCCCTATCCCTGTAAAGCCTTTCCCTGTGCCCACTTCTACACTTCATTTCCCGTTCCCTGTGCTGTTTTTGAAATCAGCATGCCCACTCACTCCCCTGTTCCAACTCCCAGCCTTGCAGCTCAAACTTTACAAAAAATCGATAAAATCGATAAAAGTAATCGATCATCCTGAAAACTAATATTGTATTCGGGATCGCCATGCCCACTTACTCCTCTGTGCCAAATCCCAGCCCCGTAGATGAACCCTGCAAAAAAATCGATAAAAATCGATAAAATCGATATTGATCGATGACGAAAAGTAGCCTATGACGCCCGCCGGGGCCCGAAGTGTATGTGTGCCAAGTTTGGTCCGGATCGGTTCAGAAATGGAATTTTCTATTCGGAACATACGTACACACATACAGACAGACATACAGACATTCAGCTTTATATATAAGAATTCTTGCGGCTTTCTACTTAGCATACACTGCATAGATAGAAGCGGTAGAAAAAATCAATCAAATTTGATTTTGCTATGTTTGGTCGTAAAAAATGTGGAATTTGTGATAAAAAAAAAACAGGGCAGTCGGCAGAGTATTAGCTGTTCTTTCTCATTGAGCAAAGCTTGTGCTGCTTTGTAAAAAGTTATGATTTTCAAGCAAGCGGTACAAAACAGCAGATTCGATTTTTTGGCATTTTTGAGTAGAGCCAACCTAGTATTTTCCAAGCTCTGATAATCAGAACTAATGGATTTGATTATCCTGAGAGCCACGATTTTTGGCTGTTTCAGTTTTTTTTTCCAAAAATAAACAAACTCACGTTGTTTTGTAGGTCTTTCGCGTCCCCTAGTTTCTTGAATTTTCTGGCTTTCAGCGCATGAAGCAAATACAGTGAGATACATGTGGTGCGGATTTATGCTGTGGCTAAGGAAAAATGAAAAAGATAGACGTAAACTCAAGTTTGTCGAAAGGGCAAGTTTTTCGCATATTGATAGAACACTGATAAAGGCTTTGTCGGGTGAATAAATGCAGTAATTATGGAAGTAATCTCACTTCTCGGTATAGTTTGGTTTTAGCTTCGCTTCAGAATGTCTCAGGAAGATCCCCCACGATAGATTTTCTGGAAGTGATGGCTTGCCCCGAAGAGGATTGCCTAACACAAAGAGTATAAAATTCAGAAATAGACGCGCTCGCGCATGTGATGCACAGTGCAAATGAAAGTTCTTACATATAAGTGAACTTATTTCCTAACCACTTAATCATGAAAACTGTAAAGAAATTGCTTACAGTCGAGTAGATTTTCCGCTTAATATAGTGTGCCTGCATTGTAGGTGAAATGCTTTGAAATTTGCGCGTAAAAAATTAGCTACGCCAATAATGCCGGCATTCTGCGCGCGCAAATGAAAGGCGTCACAGGCTAGCTATTTCTTCACGAGCAAATTTTACCGCATTTCACCTACGGTGCAAGCACACTATACTAAGCGGAAATTCTACTCGACTGTACCAGTGGCGGTCTTAGAATTTCCGTCCGGGGGGGGGGGCTGCAAAATTTTTTTTCCAAATTAAGGTGCGTGGCGTCAGCCACGCACTCCGAAAATTTTTTTGGGATGCTTCTCAAAATTTTTGCGGGTCCCTAACACCCGACAAATTTTTTTATAAGGCTGATTCAAATTTTTAAAAAATTTTGAAAATTATTTCAATTGTTTACAAGAATGAACAAGTCGCACATTTTCATAACCCACGTGAGTAAATTTCAAAATTCCCATTCTCGGGGGGGGGGGGGCCTCCCCTGCCTTTGTGCCGCTATTGTCGGCACCTTCTTAACAACCGTAACTTTAATCTCACCGGAGTACCGTACGGGTCATGCCATAAGCATGACCTGCTGTGATAGTCTGTTATGTTACTCTACCACGCCTATTGTCGTTAGCATTCTACCACAGCACCAACGTGTGCAGGTCGCCTGTCTCAATAAAGTTTATTAGCTATGTGTTCTATATAACACACTCTACCAGGCGCTATTTCGCCTAAGGCCACTATAAATTCTAGAACCACCGACACATTTGGTGCATCGGCCAAATAAGACCGATACGTGCTTGCTCAAAAGCAGCAAACTAAAACAGCGATGAGGATTTCGCCTTTCCTCACAGATGTATTCAAAATATCCACCAGGGAACTCGCGGAACTATTGCAGAAGTACGCGTGCCACGGTGAGAAAATTATCCTTCCAGATGATGATCAAATGCGCCAAGATCTATGCCACGACCATCTGGATACACTAGCGAGATGCAAAACAGATATCGAAGATCGCATCGAATCGCTACAAATGGACTTTGATATATTGAAGGAACTACACAAAGACGCCACATCAAAAGTGGCAGAGGAAATGATGGAGGAGGATTGGGACGCGTTGGAAGAAGAGATAAGTTTATTTGAAACCATTTTGACGCTAGAAGGTTTCTATATCTCTTGCAAGATCGTATGGCAGATGATTTGCAAGAGTTAGCAGGTAGCGGAAGGAAAATTCCCACATCAAGGCTCATGAATGGCATGAAAAATTCAAACGGAGAAACCCTGTTCAAATTAAAGGATGAGAATAGCAACGGCAGCAAATCACCATCAAAACCAATGCCAATGACGAAGTCTGCAGATCTGGACGTTACACTCAAAGGACTCAGCAATGAAATTCTCAAATTCTTTAACGACGACAACAATGAAAAAGGTGAAGATGTTGATAACAAGAGGATTTCTAGCGAAGAAATCGATAGCACGTTACTAACTACTGCAAGTGAACGTCCGATGATGGAGGTCATGACACCGAGATTGCCACAGGCAAACGGGTGTGGCGATGTAATTGAACCTCTCTGTGCGAAGCAGCATCTCCGATGCAAGGAGAAGAACGACTACAAACGAAGCAGCGGTACTTCAGATTCTGTATAACACTCGCCGCTAGAGATGGATTTACAAAAAAAGCGTCATATCCATATTTTACAGCTGTCTACCTCTCTCTTGCTCTATCAATGCGGCATCACCTGTCATGCTCTCTGCTTCACAATCACATGCGATACACTACGGCAAAGACCACTGCGTGATCCCGACAGATGGAAAAAGCGCCACGAGGAAGTAGATCACTCATTCGTCTTCTCCTGTCCTTTTGCTTCCCTTCTTGTGCCCAGCCGGAGTGTGCCGATATATGGCACCTTGTTTTGTGTATAGGCCTTTTGTTGCTCGATTAGCGTAAAAGTCGTGACTTTCTGCGATATAAGTCTCACTGACAAATGTATGTTGGACTTGTAATTCATTTCGCTGTTCTCAATTCTCCCGATGGCCGGAGTGTGCCGCTATTCGGCACCTTCTTAACAACCGTAACTTTAATCTCACCGAAGTACCGTACGGGTCATGCCATAAGCATGACCTGCTGTGATAGTCTGTTATGTTACTCTACCACGCCTATTATCGTTAGCATTCTACCACAGCACCAACGTGTGCAGGTTGCCTGTCTCAATAAAACTTATTAGCTATGTGTTCTATATAACACACTCTACCAGGCGCTATTTCGCCTAAGGCCACTATAGAGCCTGAAACCACCGACACAGCCTTGGTCCTCCACTGGACTGTACCTATCATTGCACGTTTCTTGCACAATCGCCCGACGAAATTTACAACATTTCGCGGTCATTTCTGCGGCCAGCGCTCTCTCAAGCAGTGCAGCCTGCTGGTTTTGCTTTTCTCCTCTCTCCGGAACGCTTTCCTACCGTCATGTGCTAGTATTTCGATACGATGAGACTTTTCATGATCACTTTGGTTGTCTCCTGTAGCTTAAAGCTAGTGGCGTTGAGCGTGCGCGATCGCTTCAGGTCCGACGGTCTGAATCATGTCATTGCATATATGTTGATTGATTTATGCATCATGTCTTTTGATAGAGAAAGCAGTGACTCGGCAGAACTGGACATTTTGAAAATTTGATATGGTAAACTGCTTACACCCCGGATGTGAGATCAGAGCAAGTCCGAGCGCACAGCATGCTGCCCCTGCCATGAAATCTGCCCTCAAACCCGTGCGCGCAAGCTATTCTTACACGCGCCCGGAGCTCGCGATTTCCCTCATTGTCAGAGGATGTATGCTACAATGTTATAACTATTAGGGTTCTGCAACGACTCTGCGTCTCCAACTAAAATGAAGGGCCTTAGGAAGTGCTACTTTTTACCATTTTCGCTCTCTTTAAAGTGGATTTTCGGGATCAGCGCATCGGATTACTTCAGGTAAGCAAAAAGAATTTAGCGAATTTGTCGAGCCACTGCGTTTAAGGCAGCGTCCAGGCAAATTTGGACATATGGGGATCTCACGTGGACAGTATTTTTGAGACCCTAACTAAGACACTGCCCAACTGGCAGATCAGATGGTGTTTAAAGGCTGAAATATTCGCCTCCACTCAGATACTTTTTCCGGCTGGTGATCGGGCTGCAACCGGCTGAGGCAACACCTCAATTCCGGGCGAGCTGGTCGCCGGCCGAACACCAGCCGGATTTGCCCCGGAGAGAGCGCGGGTGCCAGCCGGTAGAAAGCGCCTCGCGCATTACATTTACCACAGAGCGCGGTTTTTCGGAGCGGCTGCCAGCCGGTCAGGGAAAACGGAGAGCTCAATTGGCCTTGGAGCAAAGTTCCCTCTACTGCCTAGTTAGTTTGTTTTCAGCTGTATTCGAAACACGAATAATGGTAGATTTATTCGCAGAAGCACATGAATACACCGAATCCAGTATTTGCATGCAGGAAAGAAAAGATGGAAAGGTGCGAATCCGTAGTATGAGAAAGAACGAAAACTAAAATAAATGTGGGTGAAATAGATATGTTGCATATATTCATAAGGTGACATTTTACTAGAATGAGAATACCGAACTGTATATAATGAGATTTAGTCAATACGCGATTTTCTTGGTTCATTTTCGGCGAGCGATAGTTGATGCCGCGTAAGTGTTGATTCAAGGACAACAATTTGCTTAGAAAACAAAAAATACACTGGGTACATGCTATACACAAATACACATACAAATTTCACGAGTTCGGCTCCTACTTCCTTTATGTATTGAAGGCATAGGCCTGAAATGAAATGTGCGGCTGAATTTCCGATTTTTAATATCTATTTAGCACCACAGTAAATTTCTTGGAGTGGTCCAGCTGCGGAAGTTTACGCCCTTCTTTTCGGGGAAGTATCGGGAGAGCTGTTGAGCGGGTTGTGCTCCTCTGGCTGATACGAAATTGATGCTTCGGACATCCGGAGGTGCTGATCTCCTAGTACTTTTGCGATCTGGTGGTGGCGGACTTCCAAAACTTCCATGGTGGCTGCGCCCTCGCATGTGCTCCATGCCACCTCCTGCAAGTAATATCAACGGTAGTGATCAGTGAAAGTAAGTGATAAATGCACGCGTCGAAAACTTCAAACGACGAAAAAGGTCGAGAGGACTTGAATAAAAAAGACTTGCGTGGTGAAAATAAAACAATCATGTGCTACTTCAAAGGTGAAAGAAAAGGTGCATATGTCATGTCAACATTCACTATCAATTTTTAAACGCTAGCCCAAAGAGACAATGAATTTTTCGAAGTGGTGAAATGAAGTTAGCGTATCGAAATAAGCATCGATCGGCACATGCAAAGGTCATGTTGTCGAAATCCCTATGAGACATTGACATCTAGAACCACTAATTTTTCGAAAGCACATAAAGCGAGATGAAACCCAATGCTTCAATTGCTATTAGCAAAAAATGGCTGTATTTGAATCAGAAATCATATCGGGATATAACATAAAGAATATCGAGATGAAAACAACGATGATTCAAAGTCGCAAAAGGTCAAGGAAGTGTCGAAATCGAAGGAGGTGATGAAATCTGGGATGACTTCAAAAATTACCTCAAATTCAGAAGAAAATGCATACTTTGAGACTTGATAGCTTCAAAAATGATTGATTAGGCTTATATTAGCAAGGAGTAGACGTAAAAAAACGAAAAAGTTCTATTTGCAACTGCAAAGATCTAAAATTGGCCTTGCATGGTTGAAATGTTGAAATCCGCTATTATTTTCCAGCGATAGCTGTATTTTGGTGCAGCTCCCGCACTGTTGCAGACGCGGCCGGATGCTGGTCGGTAGTAGTTTCTAGCCCGCTCCTCGGTCGGTTTTAGGCGCCGCCCCAAAACATGGCGCGGCACTCGGCCGGAAAGCCTTCGTCGCCCGGTCACCAGCCGGAAAAAGTATCTGAGCAAACTGGACCCCAGGATCGTATTTCACATGGATTCATGGCGCGACACATCAGTTTCGCGTGAGTCCCGCGCGAAAGCATGCAAACACTACACAAATCGTCCAACAATACGATCCTAGGGTCCAGTTTGGAGGCGTATATCTCAGCCTTTAGTGAGTCATTTGCGCTGCCGCTTGGGCCCTGCCTTATTGTTAGTTAGGGCCCCAAAATTATTTTCCACGTAAAATCCCCATAGATCCAAATTTGCCTGGACACTGCCTTTAAGATTACAGACACGTAAAGTGACTGTCCCAGCGCAGTGGGAAACCTAAGTTTTTGTTGTTCGAGATAGTACCCAAGTCTGATGAGTTATCGCTGCACTAGTTAGAGTTGAATGGGCCCACGAATCAGACAATGCATTTTGTTTTGCATGTCAGACACATTCCAGGAAATTTTACGCTCAATATATTGCACTTGCGGTGCCGAGATTGGGCGACCAAACTGTGCGGGAACATAGAATGCGTCTAACGGGACCAGCGGCGTAGTACAGTCACACACCTGTGCGCGAGCGCGCGCGTGCAAGAACCATGCCGCGCAAAGCGGCGTAGTCCTTGTTTTAGCTACTCTTCCTGCTTCTTTTATAGCTTATTCTCTATCCTGCTTCCAAATTTCTGAGCTTCCCTGTCTGAAATTCTACTCACTACTTTCTGAGATCTCTCAAAGTACAGCGCGAATAAAAGACAAATTGGAGGTTTGAGGTCTTTCAAAGAAGATGTAATCTGATCATTTCGTTTGAAAATTCTGTAAAACTGATGCTCTTTTTCCTTACAGCTAAAAGTGAATATTGTAAGGTCTAATCGTATATCATGTAGGTTGAGAGAACAGTTTGAGTGAACAGCACGTTGGCGCTGTTCGCTGAAACATAAATGATAAACAATTATGTCCGTTGAAACATGAGCCGTTATAATGAATCATGACATCCGGAATCAGCCATCGGAAGAAGCCTGAACGAAATGAAAGATGTCACGAGCAAAAGCGCTCAAAAATTTGATAACTCCTTGTATCCGGTATCAAGGCAGATCGCATATGAGCATAAATAGGCATAAGGCATGCATAAGGCATAAGCAGCATCGTCACTTTTTGCAGTTTTTAAAAGCATACACAGCGATCCTGATGTTTTCTTGAAAATGTACAAAAGTTTTGTCCTACCTCATCTTGAATATGCTTCCCTCATTTGGAATCCATTTCTGAAACGACCTTTACGAGACTACTATCCTATAGATGTTTTCCGAAGTCTGAGTATTCCCAAGCCTTACCATCATATCGGTCACGTTTAAAAATGTTTAACCTTCAGAGTCTAAAGTATAGACGTAATGCTAGCGATCTCATTCTCTGTTTCCGAGTATTACGCCTCGAACCAGACTCCAAGCTAGTATTCTGGATCTTTGGATCTTATTGCGCCCGGTCAGGTAGGTTTGGATTGGTAAAATAGGGAAAAAACGACTTCTTATGAATTTTAACTCTTCTGCCTATCGAACGTGTAGATGGGGGGGGGGGGGGCGACAAAAAAGTTTTTCAGATGAAGGTGCATGGCGTTAGCCACGCACTCCGAAAAATTTTTTGGGGTGCTTCCCAAAATTTTTGCGGGTCCCCAACCCTTAACTGGAAAAAGAGGGCGTGGCGTCAGCCACGCTCCCAAAAAAATTTTTCTTGTAAGGCTAATTTGAATTTTTAAAAAATTTCAAAAAATGTTTTAATTATTTACAAAAATAAACAAGTCGTTTGCACATTTTTATAACCCATATAGGTAAGTTTTAAAAGTTTCGCGACCCATTCTCGGAGGGGAGGGGGCGCCTCCCCCCCCCCCCTCTCGGTCCGCCACTGGTTCATAATGATGAAACAGCTCGTCTCATCCAACAGGAAATCATCTTTATACCAATCCCGTCCGAAAACACACCACATACCATCCTGACTACATCTATCCGAAAGTGAATTCCCAAAGTATATTACCCAATTCTGTGTTTAAAAACTCTTCTCTAAAATGGAACTTGTTTGGGCCTAGTCAGCTATCCTCCGCAGGCTCGCTGGCAAAAAAGGGGCACTACAAACTTTAGAGGAAGCGAGATTTTAGAACTTATGCTGTGACTTCGAATGTCATTTGACAAGCTAATACTGTTTTATATTTTAGTGATCTGCAGTGTTTTGATTTGTAATTGTGTTTATCCATGTCTTTTTATCTGCCTGAGTTTTGAGACTGGCTGGTACCCTTTTGCTTGAGTTCCTTTTTTTTCGGCGCAGATTTTTTTCAGATGTATTAATAGATAAATAAATAAATAAAAGCAAAAATGACAATCGGCGCTACAGAAACAAAAAACTGCGAGATAGAACAAAAACAGGGTCCGCGATGCTGTGCGCAGCATGGTCCCAGCATGCTGCGCGTACGGCGGTACTCGCACGTAGGTATCGTCTGCGCCCCAGAGAGGTTCCCATAGGTACCACGTCATCTCGCTGTCTTTCGTACCTTTGAACGTGTCAACCTCGGGCACTTCCGTTGAAATCTTAAACGTGTCAAAAAGAGCGAAAGGCAGCGTAGCACCACGTACGCACGCTGGTTCACATGGGAACCTCTCTGGGATGCAGACGGTATGTGTCTGCACTACGCGGCGCTGGCACCGTCAGACGCATTCTAGCCAGCATTTTGCGCGCGCAAGTGGCCGACTTTACGGACATTGTTCGTTCACGCACAAATTTAGTTGCTCAATCTCGGCACCGCCACCTTTTCAAGCGAGAAATCTATAGTTGATTCGTTGGCCGCACGGACTGAACATCACTGCGGAGCACGCGCCGCAAGGTAAAACGCTTGCTCCAGTACAAATTCGCTATTGTACAAGTCGTGCTCTCTCGAAATTCAGTCGCGCTGCGCATGGTCCGCAGCGTTGGAGTAGTCCGTGCGGCCAACAAATCGACGATACTAGACTGCATTTCTCGCTTCCGATGCGATAATCCGCCGAAATCATTTTGTTACTAGTTCGTACTGGTAAAGAAAAAGATCGGGAGGCTACATCCTAAACTGATAAAAATTTGCCATAGTTCAGGTATAATATATTTGCAACCAGGTAGCTAAACCCGCTCCGCCCGGACCCGTCACTATGATAGAAGTCACCATTCTGTACAACCTTTCAGGGTGCCCACTTCTTCATACCATTCTCCCTATCCCCGTTTTGCTTTCGTAACAGCATGCCCACTTACCCCCTCCCCTAAGCCAACTCCAGCCCGTAGCTCAAGCTCTACAAAAATTGATAAAATCGACAAAAGTATAGACAATTATGGAAAGTAGTTTTGTATTTGTTATCAGCATGCTCGCTTACCCCCCCCCCCCCGAAGATCAGTGATAACCCCATGCAGCACGCTTTGAAAGAAGATAAAGATAGCTCACTTCCAATAATGCAGCAATTATCTCGCTATCTAAACCTCATGCGAAGACTAGTTTGGGCGCTGATTTACTCTGCACTACAGCAACTTCGACGTTCGCAGTAATGCACTTTTCTTTGCGGCGAAATCCAGTGCGCTCGGACGTTCGGTTGAAAGATTAGGACAAACCCTCCTCTGTTCACCTTTGTTTATTTGCATGTTTCTCAAAACATGAAATTTTTGCTGTTCAATATGATATAATGTCGAGGATATCACGCTTTCCTGAGGCTGATTTCGCACCTCAGAGCGACGAGGTGCGAGAAAACCTCTTGACAAGAGTTTTAAAAGACGAGCGTAATTACTGTACCATCTGCAGCAGCTTTGCCGGCAGCTCTGGCGGCTGGCTGCGGCAGCAGTCGGCTGCCCGGGTACCACTTGCACGCCTCCCCTCACGCGATACCATGCACGATTTGGCGCCACAGCGACTACCCACAACTGGCCGTAGCCGCGCTTTGCTTGAGCCAGACTTGATGCTTTTGGACAACTGGCAAATTGTCAAGTTGCATTAATTTAGCAAATCTACGGAATCGCGGGAATTGTGCCTTAGGCATCGAGCAGAGTTCACGCGATTTATCGCCGCGATTCCGAAAAAAAAAACAATTACGAGTCTATTACATGCCGATCATCTTGCATATCGGTTGTGATAGTTCTCTAACACGATCAATCGTGACTAACTATCACACCGAAATGCAAGATGATTGGAATGCAATGGACGTGTAATGTTTGTATTGTTGAAAGAATCGCGTCAATGAAATCGCGTGAGTTCTGCCCGAGACCTTAGGCTTAAAGGCAGTGTTCGGGCAAAAACTCGATTTTGAGATTTTGTGCTTACTTGGGCCTATTCGCTACGCTGAATCCGAAAATGCACATTGTAGAGAGCGAAAATGCCGAAAAACGGCTCTAACACAGGAGGGAAATGAGCAGGTGGGCGGGGCCCTCCCCACTGCGAATTCACGTTCCCGGCTTCCGGAGCGACCTTCTCGCTTCCGGTTTCAAGTCACTCATTCGCACTTGACCGGTAGCGATGTTAGGACGGCTAGCGGAATCGAGAAAATCGCTCCGGGAGCCGGGAGCGTGAAATCGCGCTGGGGAAAGCCCCGCCCACCTGCTGATTTCCCTCCTGTGTTAGGGCCCTTTTTCGCCGTTTTCGCGCTTTCCAATGTGGATTTTCGGATTCAGCATGGCGAATAGGCCCGTATAAGCACAAAATCTCAAAATCGAGTTTTTGCCCGGACACTGCCTTTAAGGCATACCTCCCGCGATCCCATTGAATAGCTACATTAACGTGTTTGCTGATGTCTCGTTCGTAGAGGTATAGTGATTGAGGCTATTTTTAACACGTTGACGACCGTGCATCCGCGCGTATGCACGCCCTGACTATCTTTTAGCACTTTCGTGCATCTATTTATCATGCGTAGACGAGAAGTTCTCAAGTAACTTCTATGCAGTGATAACACTGGTGGCCTGGTTGCCATATAGAACACACTGCATTGCGGTAGCTATTGAACAGTCTAAAGCGCAGCCGTAGATCATCAGTCCATTTTGATGTGGTCAAAAATGGCTCGGTCGTCAACGCGTTAAATGATTCTAGTCGTTTATACAGCCTGGATTGTCATAGTGCATTTGTTACAATAGCTTGACAACAATATGGGCCATGCAGACGAGTACATGAAAACAACAAGCGTGATCGAATGTCCATTCGATACAGGTGTTGGATGCCGTTTAGGTTCCGAAAGTTTGCATCTTTCCACTTAATGTGGTCATTCATACGCGCTTTGCTGTCCGTTTCTTTTACATATTTTGAATTTCTATAGGGCCGTCGAAGCCTATTCACGCTCCTTTTATGACTGAATGCGTCATTACTTAGGCGCATGTGGAAGTGTGGAACCATCTTCAAAACACGATGTACGATTTTGTTAGTTGAGTTCTGAATACAAACCTCTGCTGCGTAACGAAACACTGATACAGGGCTTATCAAACGCAGTGTCGCTTGCGCCAACATCTCCACTCCCGCGTTGGACTCTGCTTCTCTTCAGCGGATATGCTCTCTAATTACTTCCAATCGATTGAGGCTCCGCCTTTCCCACGCTCGCCCTGGGAAAGTGATCAGAGAGCATGTTCGCGGACGAGATGCAGAATCCAGCGCAGGAGTGGAGATGCTGATGCAAGCGACACTGCGTTTGATAAGCCCTGTACATGCGCAAGTCAGCCACAACGGGTAACAAGATGATCATCCTTCCCTTAACCCTCTCCCTAGGCCCTCGAAAATGATTATCCACATTCTTTAAATTGGTGTAGTGACTGTATCGGTCCATCGTCCTCCGCTCGCGAGAATGGAAGACACATTATCGCAGGCTTTCCACGAAATCGCGACGATTTCGCCGAGAGAGGTATAGGCGATTCATCGTACGCAGAGACTGGTCGCTACTGCGGACTTTGTCGGCGTCTCTCAAACCGAACGCACTTTCACCTTGTGCTGTCCTGATCGAATGCGATGGCATGCAAATGCGCGTCCAAAAGCGGCAGCATTTGTGAGACACGACGAAATGGCGTGAGTTATGTTATAGGGGCTCGGGCCTTGCACATACCTTGCGCCACTGCAGTGACGCGATTTGGCGATTTGTCAAATGCTTGCAATGGCCATGTGTGGACATGAGTATAGTGCACACAGTTCGATGACGCATCAGACTTATTCTAAATGCGCTCAAAACAGGTATAATCGACTGCTGCAACACACGATGATAACAGTTGCCTCAGGCGTCAACTCAGACCGATAGTTTCATGCTGAATGCTTCACCTTTGAATGATCGCGCATTTTGTATCCTTGCCTTTTGTATCCTATTGTATCCTTGCACGTCTCTGCTAAGCACGAATTCTGGAGCGATGATTCATATATAAATGAAAAAAACATTTATTTACTCTACATGTCGATCAGGATCGTTGCACGAAATGGCGCTTTTTTTGTCTTTCCCATTACTTTTGCAACATGTATTCGAAGACTCATGTATTCTGCGCAGGTTTCTCTTTACGGAACCACCACTGCAAGACAAATATCAGCATCATTTGTTTCGACTCCAGGCAAAAGAAGGTGTTGAACTAAAATACACAAATACTTTCGTTTGTTTATGTCAAATCTCTCGAACGGTGTGTGTTCGTGCACTTTCATATACCGGGTAGCGGAAGGTACTCGACCAAATATTTTCCTCCGATTTGGTCTAGGCGGAGCCACAGGGATCAATCAGCTACCCATTCATCAATCATGTTCAACAGTGAGCCGCACCGCTGCATACGTCCGCGATTTTTTCCTACGGCGCCGCCTAGACCCAACCCTGGAGCGAAGGTTGGTTAGGGACTATTCCTTGAAGGCAGCGTGCACCCAAAATCTAAGTTACCCAGTTCTCTATGCCGTGTATATCTAGGGCCCAGAAGAAGACCAACTGCGTCGGTCCGGTCTCTCAATGTTGCTTCTAAGCGGAGAAACCAGCCTGATTTTCTTTTCGCTCCGCCCCTTTCCTTTTCGGTCCGCCTCCTTCGGACGAATCTACGACAGCGTAAGCTGCAGTTGCAGTAGCAATTGCAGGCTGTCATGCAGTTGCTTTTTGCGGTCCGCCTCCTTCAGACGAATCCACGACAGCGTAAAGTGTAAGCGTATGTCATGCGGTTGCAGCTGGTCCTCGCTGGCATGCCGACGAGGTCCAGCAATTTGAGACGCGTCCGCCTTCTGAAGAGAGGGTCCTTGAGAATCGGGGTTTTTGAAGGGGGTTTTGAAGAATTTTATTGTTATAACTGTAATCAGGGGCGCGGAAAGGCCCCAGATTGACAAAAACATTGAAGGCGAGATTTTGGGTGCACGCTGCCTTTAAAGTGATTGTTGTTGCTCTGTTAGGCAAGCGTCATACTTGATCCACTTGATCGCTTGATCCACTTTATTATGGTTGAACTGACCAATAGCGAAGTGGAACAAGTGGATTAATGAATCCAGTGGACATCCGCTTCGCTATTGGTCAGTTCATTGATTTGGTCAGTAGCGAAATGGATGAAGTGGATCAAGTGGATTAAGTATGGTGAGTGCCTTGGGGCCAAGAGATGTTGTTATAACTGAACCAAACTGAGTTGAAATATTTCAGATGTTCAAAGTAATCTGTTCTATGCCAAATTCGGGTTACTCCGAAACTGATGACAAGCCCAAGACTCAAGCTGAGAAAGCCTACGCAAGAAGATTTGTAAGTTCAAGTACGCTTTTTGTTTGGTGGCGTAGCACGGATGCCATCTACTTGTGGAGCTGAGTACTTGCGAGACGGATACTTGCACTTTGCCAGCTTTTGTCACAGTTTGTCATTATGTAATGATTATAAAGCAAATTTTGTGTACAAAGCCTCTTCAGGAATACTCGCGCGAGCAGATACTGAGTTTGAGGAAATCAAAAAATGTTGCAAGCAGCGTTCTCCTCCCATCAGGACTTGAATGGTAATTTTAAGAATATTTTGTGCTCCATACGATGAGTATGCAGCCGTGTTCTTGAAGTGATTTCGCTGCTGCTCGCAGCTCCGGATCCGATCGGGAGCATGCGCACTAATCTATGCATAAGTCAAGAAGATGAAAACGAAGTCAAAACGTAGATTAGCATAAAAGAAACTTTAGCGTAAATAGAAAAGAGAAATACGCCACAGCCAAGGGTATTTCTTCACATACATATATGACATTGTTGTAGCCGAACTACTATCAGCTGCGTACCACACGTTTGGTTTCGCATAATATGTGTTTGATGAGACAGCTACCATTCATCACCCATGCAGCTTCTAGATCAACAGTCTCACCATAATCTAGATGAAAAGAAGAAGACAAACCCCAAAGAATTAAGAAAAGGAGTTGGAGTAGCATTTGTGTATCTAACAACTTGTATCGCCCTTAGCAATCCCATCAATTATTCAAAGAATACTTCTTACCTGTATTCTAGTGAGATCCACGTATTACGGTAAAGATAGTGGAGGAACCATGCTGGCATCAATTCAAGCGACGCCAATTCTGAACAAAATATCGCTTACTCTGGCACCTACCATACAATAGCAGTTGTTTGTCGGAGTAGCTGCGCAATTGCGAAATGGCAAGTTCAAAGTACGCGCGTTTCCTTGGTTCAAAGCATGGCCTTCGTTCTCGCGTTTCGCAATTTTTCGTGTGCCCCTTGAGCTTGGCGTTAGTATAAAACGAACAAACTTGCATTCGAGCAGATGTACACATGTGATCAACCGGCTTGATATTCGTCGTGGAAACTTCTAATTTTTTAAATCCAAAATTCCTTTTTAGCCTCTACAACTTTGATGGAATCACCGGCTCATCGTTCAAGCCCGTCAAGGTAGATTGCATAATTTTCTCGTTGAAGAATAGTTATACAGTCTGTCCTGTTCGGGATCAGGCCAAACTGCTGGCTAGACTCGCGTGCTTGCATTGGTAAATATGGTTTGCGCAACATACATGCGCTGTTGAGAGAGCGAAGAGATTGAGGAAAGAGCAGACTGCTAGCCGTAGACATGACGCAAAACCCTCGCAACACGGACTCCCGGCATTCCAATTCTGGCCTGAGCGATTGGGACAGACTATTCCGGGGAAACGTTTTTAGACAAAGTGACCTTTCCACATGGTATCTACGTAGACGCGTCTTTGAGCGCTGATTCCAAATCTGCTTTCCTTTGCTGCGCAACAACTTTCCGAAAGAAGTTAAAGGCAGTGTCCAGGCTAAACCTAACCCCCTCCGATTAGTGTCGGTCTTGAACGTAGGCCCGAGAAAAGGGGCATCTGCGTTGGTCCGGACTTCTAACGTTGCCTCTGAATGGAGATAAGGGGCCTGAAAGTCCCTGGGAGACGGTCAAGAGGCGCGATTTCTTTGGCTGTCACCAACTTAAAACTCTAGTTTAGTGCTATGCGAGTCTTCAAAAATTACCAGATAAACTGCATTAGCTTACTATCTGTTTGAAGTCACCACTTCCTGAGTTTCATGGTTTTTGCTCTGAATCGCACTGAAATATTTACGAATTTGTTCTGAAATGCATTTTCATGAGTTTTTGACCTTCAAAATTGCTGTTTTGAATTTCTATTAGAGCATCAAGATTGAACAGCTCATGCAACTACTTAATATATCTTCTTCTAAATTTCATAAACTTTTAGAAAGTTGCAAAACACTTATTATGTGTTATTTGGTGTCCAGCTGGCAATAAAAATCGCGCCTCTTGACATACACCCAAAGTCCCTGGCTGGGCGGAGTCTGAAATCAGACTCCGCTCACCAGGGACTGCTCACTACCTTGTCAATACGTGCCTCCCGACACGTATTGACAAGGTAGTGAGCAGAAGCTGCACACTGCACACTGTATGCAACTGCACCCATGCAGTTGCAGATCCTTCCCGCTGGCCTGCCGACGGGGACGAGCAATTCGAAACTCGTCCGCACCCTCAAGACTGGGTCCCCAAGAATCGGGTTTTTTGTGAATTTCAGAGAGTCTGAAGTTCGGAACTGTAATCAGGTCCACGGAAAGGCCCCAGAATGACGAAAACATGGGGGGGGGGGTTAAATTCTGGGTGGACGCTGCCTTTAAGAGTGTTTGAAAGTCCAAACCGCTATGTTATTAGCGGCGCCAGTTTAGTGAGAAGTGTATACAGCTGAGATTAGGTAGTCAAATCTGTACAAAGTATATTAACTACAAGGGAAATCAGAGCCTGTGAACTGCATAGGTGTATTTGTATAGCTCGTAGCCATAAGGCATGCATTTAGACTTTCAAGCACTCTTCTTTCGGAGAGTAGTTCTGCAGAAAAGGAAAACAGATTTGTAATCACCGTTCACTGCTCTGCAGAATGATATAGGTGTCATGCTAATAGTCCACTTCGATTAAAAAGGCTTCCCTTGTCATTTGTATCCTGCTTTCACGAAATTCTTCACTCGTAATGACTGTGTGAACAATCATTGCATAATTCTATTTAGAGCAGTGCATGTCGAGATATTGCTCGCGACATCCTTCTGAATCCCATACTCAACGAAAGGATTCAGTTATGTAAGTTCGGTCTTGCACATAGTACTTTCCTTTCCAATTACAGTGTTCACATTTGGCTTTTGTGTTCCCTTCCTTTTCTTCCCCTTTTAGAGCAAAGCATGTGCGCCACTATTTCTATAAGATAGTGCATATTTTTATATGGATTATATGTTTCTATCACTACTAGCGAATTTTTGCAATGCTAAGCTTATGCACACAGAAGTTGATTGATTACATGTATACTCAAGTAGATTTGACGGCCCAAATAGTATCTCTGCAGTGACGACAACATGAGCGCGTACGAAAATGTATTGGTAGTAAAGATCGAGAACTTGCGACATGCATGTAAAAAATGGCTATAGCGCGCACATCGTCATCAATTATTGGGAGGTATTTGTTCGACGCAATATTTCTTTATTAACAGTCCAATATAGTAGGCTTGAACTTCGCCATTTCCGGCTAGCACCGCTAGCCTTCCAGCGTATGTTTATTCTGAAATCCACTTAGATACTAGGCTAAAGGCTGCTGCATGACGAAGGCGCACAAACAGCATTAGTTGAGCGGGCGCGAACGTTGCGCGCGTATCTTCACCATTGTAAATCCTGCGCCTCATGCGCTCTGTGGCTAATGAAATCGCGTTCGCGCCCAAAGATATTGCGACTTCGTCATGCAGCAGCCTATACTAGCGTGCATCAATGAGGCTGCAACTCAGGAAAGTGCAATCATCAATCTTGAATGGGCAGTGCACGCGCTTCAGCGGCATCTTTGCCAACTTTACAGCTGATTTCTATTCCATACGGCAGCCATTATCTCGCGCACGTCCGATGTGCACTATACATGGGATTTTGAAAGCAAAATTGGCGCTATTCCAGTATCCGGGCCCCAAAATTTTCTTGTCGTGGATTCTGTCGAAACTTGGCCCAGGAGGGTTATTCGGCCCGCTGATGCCGAATATCATACTGGTTTTGTACGGTAGCGTCATTTTCTCGGGTTACGGTGGGTATACGGTAGGGGGTCAAAATCTCAAAATCCGCTGTAACTTCGCACAGAGGGGTTATTCGACATGCTGATTAGAAATATCACACTTTCTCCGCACGAAAACGTCTCCCTGCATGGTTGCGGTAGGTTTACGGTAGGGGTCAAAATCACAAATCGGCAAATGTATCTTTCCCCTGTGCTTTGCTTAGGCAAAAGCCGCAGCAGGGTGTGTAGCGCGCGGCGGTGGTCGTGTGTACAAAGCTTCACGATTGTCCGAATCGCCATACACCCGCTTCAGGCAAAACTTTTTTTTACACCCGTTACAGTGTAGCTACCGTAACTCGAGAAAATGACGCTATGGTTTAAAACCAATGTGACATTTGGCATCAGCTGGCCGAATACCCCCCCCCTGGCCAAGTTTCAGCAAAATCCGTGATTTTGGCCCCCTACCGTATACCCACCGTAACCTTGCAGGGAGGCGATTTCTTGCGGAGAAAATATGATAATCGTGATCAGCATGTCAGATAACCCCCCTGGGCCAAGTTTCAGCGAATTCCCTGATTTTGACCCCCTACCGTATACCCACCGTAACCCGAGAAAATGACGCTACCGTACAAAACCAGTATGACATTCGGCATCAGCGGGCCGAATAACCCTCCTGGGCCAAGTTTCGACAGAATCCACGACAAAAAAATTTTGGGGCCCGGATACTGGAATAGCGCGGCAAAATTTTATTGTGCAGAAAGTTTTTTTGGAAGATCATGCCCTGTGTTCAAACAAACTATTATAACTGTCAAGCAACCTGCGTGTTTTAGTTGGATCACCGTACCTGCGCGCACTGGTGGAAGCCCACAAAGAACTTCGCCGCCTGGAGATAAAAGAACAATTCGAGAATAAGAAGGAATGAAATGCCCATTTTCAGCATCTTTCCGTCGAAGGTTCAGTTAAGGCACCCGCCATACTTACCCCTCTTGATCCGCTTGATCCGCTTAATCCGCTTGCTCCGCTTCTTGCAGAACGCGTGTAAAACGCGCGCACTCAGCAGTCTGTCATTTGGCGCCGCGTAGGTAAAAAGCAATCTCGTTTAGTTGAGCAAATTCGCTGAACGTGACGCCAAATGACAGACTGCTGTGTGCGCGCGTTTTGCACGCGTCCTGCAAGAAGCGGAGCAAGCGGATCAAGCGGATTAAGAGGGGTAAGTATGGCGGGTGCCTAACCTTTTTTTTACGAAGTGTGCATGTTTCCTAAACATAGTGCATCATAATGTTGATGTTACCTTTCTAACCGTTTGCAGTTTGATAAGTCTTGAAGGCAGTGGCGCCTGTTTTTCTTTTCCATTTTTTTCTTTTTTTGCTTTGTGACATTTCAACTGTTTTGGTTCCGAAACTGCGCTCAAAAAGCATGCAAAAGAAAGAATCAAGGTTTTTGCTTTTTTTTTCTTGAAGAGTGAGTGGGATTGAGTCCTATGATGGGTTGAAGTGGGTGCGGTTCCGCTACATTCCGTTATCGACAAATCGATTTTATCGATTTTTGAAAACTTTGAGCTACGAGGCGGTATTGCGCGATGCGCGCGTATGTTGTAAAATATTCTCATCTTCATAGCTATTACCTTTATCATTTTCATTAGTTTTTGCAGACTTTGAGCTAGGGCGCTGGGAGCTGTTGCAAGGAGCTAAGTGGTGGGCTGGTTACGAAAACATAATGAGGGCAGAAATTAGGATACGGACAGGAGGTTGTATAGTAGTAGAATCCTCCTCAAAGTGTATTGACAGGGACTAAGCGAATCGAGTATCAGCTAGTTCTCTATTTTAGCAGTATGGCTGCTCCCCGCAACGAGGATCAGGTTCGCGGATTCAGCGGAGAACATGCCCCGTCTGCACAGAGCCCATTTGTGAGTGGGCGGGGTCTGGGCCAGTTTTGAAGCGTTTATAAGCTTCGGGTATAAAAAGCTTTGCACGGACCTGAGCGTACACATATTGGGGTCTGCTATCGTGTTATGAGATCTCTACCCTCTTCTCCTCTGTGTCGGGACGCGGCTTCAGTGATTCTTATTTTCCACTTTGTTTTCCAACGCTTATATAACACTTTGCTAGGCGAAGTACGATTTCCTTTGAGCGACTGAGGACTCAGGGTTGCCAAAAAGAGCGTTGCCAAAATTCCGTCTAATCTAACTCTGGGGTCGTGATATTTCAAATGTGGTCAGTAAATGGTCTTTCATCATGGGACGACGACGGTAAGGGAGGGAGCGGGAGGGTTGGTAAACACATCAGAGGCGATATTTACTAATCTCCTATATGGGAAGAGGTTCTTGCACAGGTAACAGCCCGTACAGGCTTCATATATCGCGGGCACTGACGCCCGCGATATATGAAGCCAAGCTGGTGATCGGACTCTTGTTCTATTGGAGAACGTGGTCCGATCTGGCAAGTTTGGCCATGTTGGGCACGGCAGTCGGGCAGTAGAGCGCGACCTGTCGGGGCGCTGGTGCCCGACCGCCGTGCCCGACATGGCCAAACTTACCGGATCGGACCATTTGATAAATCATGGGTTGGCGCTCTCGCCTGTCCGGGCTCTCGTTAGCAATGGCCTGAACAGCCAGCGGGAGATTGATAATTACCGCCCCAGTTTTGAACCCAAGTTTTTTGGGGGGTTCTCAGTGGTCGATTCACGATTCAGCTGATAAATCATGTGCACTGTCTACAAAATGACGCTACCAATTAAGGTAGTTTTCTTGAAGAACGTGGTTTGTTAAAGTTACGGCATACATGGGTATTTTTTTAAAGCTTAGAGTGTTTCGATTTTGTGTGACTAATTTACAGATTTTTTTAACTGTTTATCGTTTGTGGTTATTTTCCTTACTTCGAATTGTATTTCTTGGAGCCATTTCCTAAGTCTTCTTATATCATTATCTACTAGATAACTCTCTTCTAATTAGTTATGACTCACCAGCAATCGACACAGTTTTTTTTTCAATTATTTTGATGTTTCATTGGGAACCAAAATAAAATTTTATGGTCTCTTAAAGGGCATCGAGATTTTATCAGTGTTCTTTGAGGACGTTTTTTCCTCTATCCATCCAAAGATTATTTTACAATAAGATTCACGATGTGAGCTAGTTAGCAAGACCTTTGATTATACAGCTGCACCCTTAGAATAATCCGACAGTCGACCGAAAATGAATTTGTATCAGTTACCCCCCTTTCGGATTAGCCTCTTATCAGTCCCCGCTCTTAAGAAGAGTTGATAAATAGCTACTTTGCTACTATCTTATCTCGACATCAAAGTGACGTAATTATGTTGAAAAAAAAAAACTCTGCCTTTCTGCTATTGTGTAGCCTACGAAAATGCCTCAAAGGTGAAGTAATTTCTTAAACGTTTCTACAATAATTAACTTTGAATGTCACAAGTTTGTACGAGGGTGCCCTACAAATACTAAATATTCAGCTCTTAAAAACAGGAGCAAAAAGAATTAGCAGAACTTATGATTTACGTCTCGGTCTGGGTAACTTTCGAGTGCAGTTTTTCAAGATTAGGTTAATGGGCTTTGTGATACAATACCAACTGTATCTGAATTTATGATCACCTCTGCATGTCGCATCGAAACGCCTCTAAAGGGTGGAGACAACATATTCTTTCAAGATCACATGTTTTGATAGCATCTTGTGGTTACTGCAGAAGACTGACCAGTGCAAACTTTTTTCTTCTTTTCCAACTACAAAAGAATCTTTTCAAAAAGAAAGAAAGAGAAAAAAAAGAGTAGCAACCCCTGACAATCAACAATGTATTTTTTTTTACTTTGAAGGCTCTCCACTACTACAGAAGCGCACAAATATTCGGAGTATAATCCACGAGTTTATGCTAATACTATGTGCAACCACCTAACAGCGCGTCCTGTACGACTAACAAATAAGTGAATTGTAAGTCAATCGTGACAATTTATTTTTCGAAAAGAACACTAAGAAAGGAATGACCCCAACTTAAGGTGGCAATTAAAATGAGCCGCATACCGTTAGATGTGTCTTAATGAACTGTTTCCAAATCTACTTCTATATCTGCGATGCCGTTCCCAAACTTCGTCGAGGAGGGTATCTGGCACCCTAAACATGAAAATCGTATCCTTTTGGTACGGTAGCGCCAATTTCTCAGGTTACGGTGGGTATACGGTAGATGACTAAAAATCCTGAATTCGCTCAAAACTTTGGAGGGGTTTCCAAGCACGCTGTTTTCGAGTATCGCCGTTTCGCACGATAGAGCCTTCCCGTGGATTTTTGGAATCTAAATTTGGCTGTAAAGCAGAAAAGTTGCTTATTCACGCATTGCAGCTCATCGTAACTCTTACATTTAGACATTGTTGCAACGAACGTGCATGATTTCTGCTATGAGCATGCTTAAGAACCCCTCCAGGCAAAGTTCTGAGCGAGTTCGGGAATCTTACAAATTGTTAGTCATCTACCGTATTCCCACCGTAACCCGAGAAATTGGCGTTACCGTACGAAATGAATATGATTTTCATGTTTAGGGTGCCAGATCTCCCCCCCCCCCCCCTAGACGAAGTTTGGGACAATCTGTGGTTTTGACCCTCTACCGTAACTCCACCGGTGGCACATTCGTAATCAGCGTGTGCAATTACCCTCTTAGACAAAGTTTTAGCGAAATTCACGATTTTCATCTGTTGGGTCAACTAATGTGGAATAGCGCCAACAACATTTATTTGTGTTTCCTTTAAATGTGAATATTCCTTGAAATCCATGCTAGTCATGCACTCCCAAGTCGGATTTTGAAGCACTTTATGCATTAAACCCAATAAATTCACATTTTCAACCTTTCAAACTTTTTCCAAAGAACGGCATCGCAGATGTGGTAGGCAGATTTGTAATTAGCTCGTGAAGACGCATCTAACCATATAGGCTCATTCCAATTCGTCACCTCAAATTGGGATCGTTCCCTTCGACTTTCCATATCCAACCAGTTTGATATGTAAACCCCAAAAATCTGCCGTTGGTGCAAAAACCCGAGGCTAACGGAGAGCCGTTTTCGCAAGTGCTCCGCTAATATACCTTTGTCTGGGTTTGGACTATAACCCGTCTTTGGTGTATCCGCAGAAAAGTGACACAAGAGGCAGCTATATTATAAAATAAATGAATAAAACAAAAAGGAACTGTCAAACTGGGATGAAAAAAGTTGTGATAATTCAGATAATCCTGGCAAAAGGCCGTTTCTCTGTGCTGCGAGCCATTCTCCCAAATCGCAGGATCTCTTGTGCTTAGGAGATATGTAAATCTATTGCTATTTATTCTCTCAAAATAAATAGAGGCCATTTGAACATTTGGTAATAGGAGAAAATATTACGAATGATGAGACAATCATTATGTGAACTGGTAAGTCAAATAATAAAACGAAGAGAAATAACAAGGCCAACGTAATAACAGCAGAATCCCTGGGCACTTTATGTCGAATATGCGTAACAGACACTTATTTGTTAATACATTCAGTAATAAATGATGCAGAACACTTAGAAATTGATCAAAAATTATGACACTATAACATTCACATGTGCATTCGAATTAAATTACTCTGATAAGGTTAGGTTCGGGTTCACAGCTAATGAAGCACCGTGAGTATATACTGGATCCCTTCTACACGTCGTGCTTGAACGTCGAAGATAGTTAAATGCTGGTATGTATTGCGCGGGAACTCTGAGAATTACTGGTATTTCTGACAGTTAAAACAAATTAAAAAATTGTTCGAGTTTTCTTTACAGACTTAGAATCAACGGTTTGAGGGACTGTTAAAGGTAGTTATGGAAATAAAGCACGTTCGAAGACATGCTGAGATAATAGAGCTGACCAACAACGTAACAATTCTACATATAATACAATCCTACACATAAAAGACTAGGAGAATTTGACTGAGCAAGAGGACATATACCGGAATATCACAATCTTTCTACAAATCTAAACAGGAATGCGGCAGGAAACATCATAACCCAACAGCTGACATTTTTGTGACATACTGTAGCGCTTCTTCCAATTCCGAAAAGACCCGGCATTGACGACGTTTTGCCATATCCTAGAGGAAAATTGCATATTGGATGAAACTTTTGGAGGGATTATGAAGAAACTTACCTTGAGATAACAAAAGGCGATCTGGTAGCAATCATTCCGCCGCCGCCTAAAGGCTCGTGCTACCTCATCTTCGTTTGTTGTCGGTGCTTCCAAGCACTCGGCTTCCTTCGGTACGCAGACCGTCACTTGCCAATTAGTGTGGCCTAGCATATACGCTACCTGGAAAGTTTACAGAATAAAAAAATATCGTACAATATTTTGAAAGGATTTTACCTCCACCATCCCTGACAGAAATGATTTTGTAGACGGAATATGGTAGAAAAAATGCTTTAACTGAGAAGACCATGTCACAAGGCACTTCATTCGATTTTCGGGCTCAACGTCGCTCATCACCAAAAATCGAGAGTAACGAAGATTGTTACGGCTAAAAGAGAACGATGCTTGACCATCATTATCTATGGTAAGGTACTGTAAACTCACTCCATGTACGGAATAACCACTCGGTTTACCCATGATGTGTCATCAAGAGCACTGGATGCCAGCTCAATATGTGCCGGTGTAACTGGATTAATCACCCGTCCATTCTGTGAGCGTCGTCGTGACAATTCTGGTACAGTGAAAAGAGAGAAACCGTCATCAATGATGCCATCACAGAATCGTTTTGAACGTAACACTGAAAATAGAAACATTTTGCATGTTTGCAGAATAGGTGTCGGTAACGAGAAAACGTACAATGGCTCTTTGAATGTACAGGATTGAGAGGTTGCAAGGTAGTCGACATTCGCGGTGAAGGAATTGCCGCCGAAGCTCGTAGCGGAAAATAGGACGAGTCGGCAACGGCTCGAGGACGACGAGCCCGATAGCGTTGGAATCGTTCAGTAGCGAATATGACGATAATGTTGAGCAATATGAGAGGCAGAAGAATAAAATAGAATGGGATATTTGGAGCAACCATCTGGCAGGTTATGAAAATGATTGTGTCCGCTGCACAGGCTAACGTAACGTGTCGTGCGTAGGATATCATCCGCAACCAAGCGCTACGTGCTCGGAATTGAGCAGCTCGAGCCACCCTTTTGGTTCGGAGGGAAAGAAATGACAGGCGTTGGCATGGTTCTCGCAGAGCTTCCGTCCACCGCTTACTGCCAATTATTTCTTCTTCAATATAATCTAGTGCATCCTGAAAAGAAAAACCGATATGCAAAGAATAAAACCGCGCCAACATTTACCTGTATACTGTAGAGCATGGGCACATTATGAGCATCCAGAATCCTATCAAGTAACATACAGGTCCTATTTCGGTCTGGTAAATCGTCGGGATGTGCTTTCTGCTTCCATTCCGTCTTCCCAAGAAATACTACCACCAATTTGGGGGATTTTCTTGCTGCGAAATATGCAATCTCAAGAAAAGAGGTCGCATTCACAGTGGCGGGATCTATGACGAACAGAAAGAGGGACGACCTCTGAAAGAGCGATAATCAGAACTAGCTGTACGTCACTTTACGTCATCATTACAATAGTCTCACTTACTTCTTTAGCAATGCTTTCTTCATAGATCATGTTCTCACTCCAAACGCTCCGTTGCGGGTCGTAATAGGAGATAGCTTTTTTCTTCAGAAATGGTATGACTAATTGCCGTCGCCACACCTATAATGCAAGAGAACATTGACAAAGTAGCTCCTAGAGTCTTATTTTCAAAGAGTTTCTGTTTTCTTTTCTGACTGGCCTAAAATTCTGCAAAACAGTGGGCCTCTTATGTCCTAAAAGTTCAAGCCATTTGATCCCATTTGAGACAAAAAACCCGAGTGCCCCAGTTGGGGAGATTTTTAGCTCCCATTTTAGATAGCAGAAATATAAGTTCATCTCTCCTATATTTTACTAATTTTGATACTATATATTTCACATAATTGACCTCATTAACTACTAAGATTTCATTGATTACATTAATTTACAGATTGGTCCACACAAAGGATAGAAAACGGAAGAAGACCGATTAGTCGAAGGTTGAGATTAGTTCCCTTATCGTTATTTACTAGCCATAAGATCTTCCCTCACTACTGATGATTTCCGGGGAAGATCGTGCTCTTATCCTTTTCCGTCTAGTGGAAGGAATGAAACGGAATTGGATGTCTTTTGATTTTATTTTTATTTTGTTACTTTCTCATTTGTTTTATTTTTCTTCCTTAAAAATATTAGACTAAATCTTGAATCGCATTACTGCCAATATTATTGCTTATTGATCTTCAGTGACGTTTGTCATAGATAACGCCAAGTGCATGACAAACATATATGGTTTGAAATTTAGTCTGCTCTAAGAAAATGGTAATGGTGCGACCTCGAGTCAAAACTCTAAACCCTATCAAATATTGCACCAAACTTGGACTTGTTAGATAGCTTGCTCAACAAGTAGAGGAGATACGGGTTTTGTCAACAAAAATTTTGCGAAAACATACTGATATGAATATTGAGCTTACCGTGGTTCCACATGAACCGCCGAGGAATACATCATACATAGGCACGGTGGATAGAGGAGCCTCTTCAGCATGGACTGTACCCGAAACGCGACTATAATCGCTTCGCATACTCCTGAAAAAAAAGATTCAGTGGTGAACTAGAATTTATCAGGAAAAATCTGCCTAAAATTTGACAATGAGCTTTTTTCATCAACAAACTTTTTCATGAAAAACGTGACTTCTTGAAGTTGTTGATAAAGTGAAGGCACTGCACTCAGTACACTCAATGATCAGCTTATATATCATAAGCTTCATTTTTCAAAGAATAGCAATGCAAAAGCTAGGTGCTCCAATGGCCAACTGAATTCTTGTCAGCTTAAGATAGCTTGAACAAACGTTGTATGCCAAGTGAACTCAAGCAAAAATTTACTCAACGTGCAGGGACATAAAGAAAAGAATAGGATTAGTAATGCAGCTGTACTACTGGATATGTTATGTGACGCTGTTAGCATTTCTATTAAGACCAAAGCAAATTTAGTATTATTTAATCATCTGTAAATGTGCTTAATCACGCAATTCTCAGCAAGTGACGTGATCATACATTATTAGGGAGTCTGCAAGCATGATCACCAATTAAAGGAATGTCACTACATATAGTATGATCTTTGCCGCAAGTGTCACCTTACGCATATGACGTGTTTGATGCATTTTTTAGAGCGCAAGTTATATTTCTTCTTTGTCCTCTCCGAACTCAGATACAAGTTCTAACGATACCTATTCAAAAATGTTACAAAATCTTTAGTTTTCGCAAAATCTGGCGCAAACATGTGGAAAGCCCAACATAGCGACAAACTATAGACACGCATGATGCAGAAACTTTCTAGCGAACATTACAAAATGGATAGATATCGTTCCACATACTATACAGATATAGCCGCTTTTTTGTTGATTTCCTTTTTAAAGACTAGCTGACTACAAACTCTCCGGTTCGATATCTTTAGTCAATCTCCGTACTCATGTTCAGCTTCTACACTTGACAAAACTTCAGTACAGGCTTTTTCAAAACACAACTCTGGTCAAAAGATTAGCAAGGAACGTACTTTGAGGCGTATGACGCAAAATGAAGTAATTGTATGACCATTACAATTCAAAGTCGCAAACAAATCTATTTGTTATAGCTAAAAACTCTAGATTATTAGAGCAAGTCAATTTGTATTCACCTTTGACGAAAAGTAATTTAGACTATTTGAATTTACGAGGAAGTAATAATTCGAGAAGGTAGACAATTAAAGCGATCCCTTTGCTAAGAAATTCAAAATGCAGAAATTTGTTGCGCCGATTTCGAGCCTCCAACGAGGGGCTTCCTATAGGAAGCGTCTCGCGACAATGGGGAAAGCAACCGAGATGAACCTCATTGCCTCTGCACAAAAGAAACAGTAAATTCTTACAAAAGTGCAGATTTTGTGATCTACTCGTCATTCACAACTGAGTAGGACAGCGAGCAATTTTCGCTCTTCTACATACCTAGTGTGAAGTTCCGTGGTAATTTCAGACTTCCGGTTAATCCTCCATTTGGCTTCTTTCAAGCGACCCATCACACCCCACGCCTTTCCATCAATTTCATCACTGGAAGGCAAAATGATCAAACTGAACAAGAACACTTCAAACTGGCATGCAAAAATCTCCCGATTAAATTACTCGTACGACATGTGGATTTTCTATTCTTTGTATCCTATCCAGTAAAAAGAGCAACAAATCGAGGGCAATCAGCGTTTCGTCACATTACGTCATGGCAGACAAACGAATCACAGCACAACTGGATGCTAGGCAACAAGTAGCAAGCGTCAACTGCTTCTATGAGGGTAAAAACCCGTAGTTGTTAGTAGTGGCGCAGCGGTTAAGTTATTACGTCGAATCTCGACAAGAGGATTAGCAATGATATTGAGCTCACGTAAGCACATCGGTTCTGTCATAATCAGCACAAAGAATAAACGAAACTCATTCATATCATAACATACATTAAGTAGTGCATTACTTTGATTGAAAATTAAGGGCAGCCTTTAACACAGGAAATACCATACTATTCGAAAAGTGACTCTAGAGAAGGGGTGAAAGAGCTAGTCACTAACAAAGCCTAGGAGGTGTGAATTGTTTAACTCAAATCAGGACGAATTCGAGCAAATTATGGTCAACTTTTTTTTGCAAAAAAGCAGCTACTTTACGAGGCTTAGAGGAAGTTTGACTTACAGAACAATAAATTACTGATAAGTAGATTTTCTCGACATGAAATTCATAGAAAAACTGACAGTAAGTAGTGTATGACAGGTCAAGTCAGCATCATCCAGGTATGAAAGACAGACTGTAGAAAAATCACCCCCATATCAAGCAAGTTCTATGCATCATTAACTAGAAATGGCTTGCTATTGCGAATTGTTAGGAAGATTATTCCAAGATACCCCACGATCAAACATGGTGGAAAGGTAAAGAATCATAAGGTTCGGAAAAAAATGAGTCTACAACTAAGCTTTACCTTGTCCCAATAAGTAAATGCCAAGCTTTCGTAGATCTATAAATGAGGAGGTAAAGAAAACCTGGTCCAAAACTACTATGCTAAGCACACTACTTATGCCTGCTATATATTCTACTCCGTTAAACGTTGACTAACAAAAGCTATGATGTTGCCAGCATTCCAAGAATTTTGCGTAGTGACTGACTCTCACAAAGAGGTGGAAAGTGACGAGAAAATTCCATGAAGTTCCTGATTCATGACTATTTTGATATTTGTAGCCTGACGCTGTGTGCGAATAAATTTGTGGGAGGCAGTATCCCCCGCTTCAGTAAGCCTGATCAACGATAGTGTTAAGCTGAGTTACTGAGTCTCATCAAAGATAGTGTAAAGCTGAATTACTGAGTCTCATCAAAGATAGCGTTAAGCTGAATTACAAGCATCAGACATCACCACAGGAATCCTCAAAAGGAAGCCTTGAGCAGAATGCTGATAGTAACGAAAAAGCGCATTCGCCCCATCTAACAGAGAAAGTGTTTCTGATCGAAGTGGCCTTTCCGGGTAAAATTTACATCGTTTTGAAGAGCACTGAACGCTGATTCAAAATCTGTCTTCGCTCCTGCTACGTACTTTTAGTCGCAGTATAGTTCAATTTCTGCCTCAAAAACACTCATGACTCGGCGTATAGAGGCGCACAGCAGATACTGAGGACAATTTGGTACTCTGGAAAACGGTATAGAACATATTCGGCAAAGTCACTTCAACTAAACGCATTCTTTGAAAGATGGAATCTTTATCGAGAAGGCTTCGAAAAATCAAAAGAACTGCAAGGGCTGGGTATGACGCACGGGACATGTGAGGAAGTCCATGATAGAGAGTAAGAATATAAAGTATGATCACGTAAACGAGCTATATATCCTATGCACTTTTTTGTGCTAATAGCCTAAATATCCCAAGCACTTCTTTGTGCCAGCAGTTTAAAAATAATTGCTACTACAGAAGCCACAGAATGATGTCAATTCCAGCTAATTTTATAAGTAAGAACTAGTGTCAGTAGTACATTATGGCATCAGTAAACGAGTAAATAAGATTTGTACTCACGTCAATGTCATTTAATCCGAGATAAAAAAGAAGTGTTTGTTTTTTGATGTTTCTCTCAATGCATGACGAGATTAAATGTCGGATTATGTCCCTATTGCATATACCTGCAAATGTTTACGCTCACATTTGAAGAATATTCTTTAAGTATATTAGAGAGTATTATTTGATCATAGCAAATGGGGTGTATCAGTATGTACGATCTTCCACATGCAAGGCTAATTCTTATAGAATTCCGAATTTTCTTAAATATAGGCGGTACAAAAGCATTAATTTTTTTATCCAAAATAGCCCCGTTTTGTGAGTCGAAACTTCCAAAATTCAGACTGCTAAACACCAAGTGAATTCGACACTAGAAAAAAAATTATAGCGCATAAAGAGGGCGATAAAGGTGATGCTATGTGATTCATAAAACTGAGATATCTAAGCATGACAAGTGAGAGTAGCTCGAGACAGCTCAGCAATTTTTTTGAGCAGAAACCGCAATCAAAAATTTCTCAAGCTATCACGATTGGATCTTGAGTCGCTAATAAAAACAAAACTTAGCACACAGCCAGTTATCACAATAATTCTCTTACATTGTGGCGGACTAGAAAATTAGATATGGCTTTGTCAGAATTCAAAACAAACGGCATCAAAGTAACGACAAACACTCAACTTGAGTAATAAAGGAAACAATGCAAACAAAAGCTTTTTCTTCTTAGCTTCTAAAACTCCCCAAAAAGGGTAATGCCATCGCGAGCATTCGTAAACTTATCTGAGGATATTCAAATGTTTGACTTTCTTTGAATCTCGGCATACAATGTAACAATCTCGGTTCTGGCTCAATAACACAAAACAATATCTAAGGATAATTGGGCACATTATGTCAGAAAGAGAACGTGAGCGCGACAAAATGACATGCACTACTTTGTTATAGAAAATACTTAATGCACTGAGTCTATAACGGACTCATGCAAACACTTCTCTAGTTTCACTTTAGCAGCATTTCAGCACTTATGACGTGAATAGAGACGACAAAGATACTGCACTAATCGACTGCTAAGCAAAAAGACTAGTCTACTCGATCGACGTCTTAACAATAGCAGTAATAGCAATAACAAAGCATGTTGCAGACAGTGAATCGATGAGACACTAAATAAGCAAACATTCTGCTCTTTGAATTCACATGGAACGCAGAAGACGAAGTGTTACATGAATGTAAGAATGAGCATGTAACATGCGATGAAAAGAACTGTAAATAGAAAACGGCGCGCAACAAAGAATCACTATTTTTTGTGCACTTTTACAGGAAAACGCAAATTGGAGCCCGTCTCGGAAAAACCAAAAATCAAAACTAAGAATGAGGGAAGGTCCAGATTTAGTAGCAATTGAACGAACAATATGCTATGAATTTTGCTGCCTTCGTACATTCCGTACTACTGCTGCTTTACCGTATCAGTAGTCACTAGGACAGACCCGAAAAGGGATTGAAAAGTAGACCGCTATCATCTACTGTGCACTAAAGTCCTTAGGCAATTTAAGAAGCTTATAAACACCGTACGCGCTGTGTATTTCGAAGCACAGAGATAAGAAATGATTGACTACAAGGAACGCGAACGAATCACTGACGAAAATGCTATCATGAGGCCAATATCTAGACTCTTCCCTAATCCCAATAGATAGTAACATTTTTTTGAAGATGACTAATCTAAAGAGTCGTAAACACACCCTCTCGGTGTGATACATTAGTTCCTTCAGGAAAACTATTAGAAAAAAAAAACAGTCTCAATCGCACAAGCTCCACCTCATTTTATGTGCTAGACGACCATAAACCATATCTTCTGATATAAAAATAGGGACAGAATTCGTGGAAGCAATATGATTAAAACCAAGATAGAAGTGCGTCACTCTCATTCTCTATAAATAACGGTCCTAGCTAGGATGATGTATGTCTGTCTTCACATAATCATATTTTGAAAATAATGCTTGAGTAATATTAGTTTGCTTTTCCACAATCAGCAAGAAAAATAAACATGATTCAATATTTGGAGAGCAAATGAAAGCAAAATTCGAATAGAAAGCAATTTAAGTCCGGAATATAAGCATTGCTATAAAAGACGGAGTGAAAAGAGAAAGGCGTTAAACAAATCGATTTGATCCTAAGAGATTCTGAAAGCTGATGCTCAAGCAGAAATATCAGACGACAGGTGACTTAAAACTGGTTCAGCGGAAAGATGCAAGTCAGCCAAGGGGCACTTTTTACTGCCAGTTGTTCTGGTGTGAAGAGGACAAACATCTCTGACATCACTAGCTCTGCCAATCGAATATGTATAGTTGCCTTGGCGTGAAGCTGGGGGAAAGGAGGTGCAGAGATATGAGGAGTCAAGCCGAGGATCTAGCAGGGATGATGGAGGGTGAAAGCACTATCGAGCTGCGTGGCTACTCACAAGAGATAACATCTTACGTCAAAATATTGGCTTCTGATGCCGATGAGAGCAATGAATTTGCAACAGATGTAAACAAGGCATAATGGGTGCAATTAGAGAGGGGGGGGGGAGTGCAATGAATTAGGCTGGTGAGAAGCTCAGTGAAAGTGTAGAATTTTATATGCACAATGAACGATTTTCAAGGCCAGGTGTAACATCATTCATGATAAGACATCTGCGTGCATGGCGATACACCCTCCATTATGACGAATTTAAGTGATAAGAGAGGGAAAAAATTCCTAGGCGTATTAGGAGAGTAGAAAAACGCTCACAAGTCGTAAGTATGCATTCGCGAGTCGGTACGACTTGAAAAAAACTTCATGACGAAAGTTTGAAGATAGCACTTCTGCCCAATCGTTATCAGAAAAAGATTCTTGTGTTGGCTGAGCTCACAAAGACGCAAACGTCGTAAAAGTAGAAAAATTTTGATATTCGGACATGGCATATTTATGTATATAACCTTAGAGGAGGCAAGGAAATCACTACTGTTAGGGGAAAAGATTTTGTTTCGGAAGAAAAGATTTGGGAAAGGTTTTTGACACAGGCTCAAAACTTGCAAATCCCACACAATGGATTTATATTTTTCACAAACACGTACGATAAATAGAAGGAATTATAACACACCTGAATACAGTATTGCATAAGTTCGTGGTAAAGGACAATGTAAGATTCATACCGGAGTCATTCGGAGACTCTGAAAATGATAAAAGATATGAAATGTAGGAACGACCATACGATATAAATGCGGAACGAAGTTAAGAACACAATTATAGAAACAGTAATGTGCTTTAATGCATGTCAATGAAAAATTTGTTTACTCCAGCAAGGACACGCTAAGAATGACAAGATCTAATCAGAACATATAAGAGAATCAACTGACATTGTGATGTGAACCGATCGAAAAGTTATAAAGTCTTTCATTCGTGGCATTCGCCGAGATAAGGCACCAAAGAAGAGAAATTACAATGTGCTAAAGGTTTTTTTTTTCGGGCTCATGCCGTCAAAGGATTCTAGCATGTTGGTAAAGTACAAGAAGTGATGATACACTGCGTAAACATTCCGAAACACTACGAGGTTGCCTAGCTGCAGCAGCTCATCCAACACGCGACAACATTAACAATCAATTTCCTTGGCAACCTGTCTGTAGCTTCCAGGAACGACAAGGATGTCATCCGAATTACTCTACACGCTCCCATGACCAGGTGAAGTCATTCACATCAGCAGGCGCTTTCCCTCCGGCTCCCTCTATGTTCCCCCCGCTCGAATGTGTCTCTCTGTGTGCCTATGTGTGTACTATAAAGGGCCCCGTGCGAGAGATGATGTCATGCAAGCGCGACGTGATGCACGCGACGACGCGCTTGCGAATCTGAGGAATTGCTAAGGTAACAATCAAATTAAGATTAATTGTTCGCTAGAGGAGGTCTTCACATATGAATGAACATGGAGAGAAGAAAAAACTGGTTGGCAAGGACGCGAAATTTCAGATCGGTTAACGCGGTTAGCAGAGTTGAGAGCTGAGTTCTCTGGGCAGAAGGCGTGACAGCATTGCGACTGCTATGACGTGTTGCTGGGACTTTTGCTGGCTCGAGAAGGCTATGCGGAGTGGGCGAGCGTTGGGCAGTGTCTGTGCGGCAGATAAGAACTTTCCATGCTCCTCTACTGCGAACAGTTGGACAATAGTGTAATTCAAAATTGATGACACAAAATTGGGAAGGAACGGACGGAATCCAGGTGCACGTGAACGAGGTACGCAGCGCAGTCGAGGGATCGATCTGGAGGCGTGGCCGGTCGCGACGGGAAGACGTGGAATGGCGTCACTCACCTAACGCCGAGGAATTGCACATAAACCAGCAGCTACGAGGAGGAGCTCTCTCACCCACGCGAACAACCATTAGCATCCTATTTACTAGCTCTACAAGCCCTGAGCACAGTTCCGGAGACGCTGCGACGCCCTATTGTGAAGTAATGTCGTAAGTGTAGCAACCGAAGCGGAAGTTGTTTGAAAATCGAATCAAAACAACTAGTACGGGGACGATGAGAGGAGTGTGCAGATAAACAAATGCGAACATTTCCTTATTTTGGCAGAAACTGATAATGGGAATAAGACGGGAAGTTGACCGGCGACAAGTCGGCGATGAAGGCTAGCCGTCAGCTTGCCCACGACTACTAGCCTATAGAATTTTGGATGAGTCGCTCTCTCGATTAATGCGCATGACGTCATCGCGCGTCAAAGGGGCAGGCCCGAAGGCTCGACAAGCTCCAAATTATGCGCGGACTCGGCCCGTCTCTAGCCGCGCGCCAAGAACACGAGATTTACAGCAGCAGCACATTTCTGGGATTCTCTCCCGCATGCTCGCCATCCCACACCCGAATGATTTGGCTTTTTACAACGCCTTGTCAGAAGCGAAAATTGCAAATTAGACACTTGCCCAATGGCCGCAACTTCGCAAACCTTGATTACTCGGAGTATGAGATATCTTCCTCAATTTCTACAACCAAAGCGCACTCAAATTGAAGGTCGTTACTGATTCTTCGTGCCCTTGACAAATAATAGTTCCCGCAACCCGCGTTCTAAAGATGTGAAAACTCGTTTAAACTGAAAATCAGTGACGTGCACACATCGGGCTTAGACACGCTCATTGAAGAAGGATATTGACGTTCTCCAATTTTCTCTAGACGAAGATTGCACTAGTGAAAAAATCACATTTAACATAGGATCTTAGCAGAAGGACATGAGAATGTTGATTTATGTTTCTGAACTGAACGTAACTGCGTGTCTCTTGTAATAACATATGACTTGGAAATTTCTGGTAATAGTGATATAGGCCTAAGTAGATATCGACATGCAGGGAATAATTTGGAAGAAAAAAACTAGGCCGATCAAAACGTCTTAAGCGTTACGTAGACCAAATCCAGAAATCGGCTTGCAAAGCACTTTTTGTCTGCACTGACCTCAGTTATGAAAGTGCTTGGAGGGCAAACAAAGGAAGATGCTCTTATTAGTACAACTCGACTGAGAACTACCAAAAGATAATTCGAAAGGTTAGGGTTTGCGCATGATCAGGGTGCAATCGACCTTGTGACATAATCTGTATATTAAAGGTGTGGATAGTTGTGGAAGGATGAACAAATAGAAATTCAATTGCTTTTGTACAAATGTGTAAACACACCATTGAAATCGAAAATTTGTTAGCAATAGTGGTGAAAATAGAGAGCGAGCGCTTTTGAAAATCAAAATACAGACAATCACTCAATCTATTCCTGTGTTATGTCTTCGGAGTCACATGTAACCAATAAGTGAAATCATCACAGAACAAAAAAAGGTCACGTTTGAAAGCTGTTTAGTAGAACAAATGAGCTAATCTCTGAACAGTTAGCAGGTGTTGCTTAGTACTTTTGAAATAAGCAACTTCGAGCACTGGAAAAAATCGACCCGAGTCACAATTAACAAGTAGTATTTTCACAGTTCTCAGTCACATGAACTACAAAGAATGATGAAGACGTGTTTTTCTAGCCATCCTATTGTCGAAAATTAAATATATGGCAGTTGTACAATATACACGCACCAAATCGTCATAACCCAGAGTTGCTGCAAAAAATGCAGATACCAGTGCTCGATATCTTTTGCAATTTTTACACTCCTTTGCCAAATAAGTGGGAAAAACTTGCGATTCAATCAGTGTTTAAAAATAACCTTAAAAAGTCAGGAGCAGATGTGTTATTGATAGATGTCTTACCAGCGATACTAACAACTAACAATGCTGCACACAATGAAATTGGCACCTGGATGCAGTTTCATCGTCAGCTGATAGCCTATAAACTATTTCTGTTTCCTAAGCATCAAGCAACATAAAGACATCACTTTGTACACTTTGAGCTCTAAATATTTACGGGATACAAATTTATAACATATCCGGTTTTGCTTTTTGCTAAAAAAGCAAGAAAAACATGGGCGAGACATTGAATGCTCCCATATTGAATAACTTGTTAGTTATATTGCTTGAATTGTATTGAAGGCAGGACCAAAGTTCAGTAGAAAGCAACATGAAAATTTTGAACTATTTCCTGGTAACAATTCGGATAGACGTTTGAAAGGAATCTAAGTTCAAAATTTTGAAATCCGTATACTGCATCAGTGAAAGCGAGATTAGTTACAGAAATTGTTTAATGGGATCAATCGAGGCTCATTTATTTCTATGCGAAACTAAATTCATACGTGAACCATTTCAAACTTTGAGGCGTCCAGTTCCGACTGGACAGCTTGGCGAGGAGGGCTATTGTCCTGTTCTAACCACGCCTATCGAGTGACTTATTCAGAAGCATACCAGAACTTAACCAAACTATGCCTGATTCGAAAATCTGCTACAATATTTGCAGAATTCATAATTTCGTGGGCCTTTATCAACCTCGATAAGATGGAGCTGCTTGATAAACTCACTAACGGCAGGCGGCTGCCTACAGCAGGCATTCACGATTCATAAAAGTACACATGTACTATCGCACCAAATCATTTTAACAAGTTCATCAATCGCAGAGTACTCCGACGACTTGCGCGCAAAAGTTGGCAATTTTCGGCCATAAAGTAAACAAAAATTGCAACATGAGACTGAGGCAGCGGTGTGGGGTGATAAAATGTCCAGATGAATAATCCATGCTAGAAAATTTGCATTGTCACTCATATCGCATTCACTCAGCCAAAAAGGAGCATACTTATTTTGTGCCAATTCAAATTATTATTCGATTATTCGAAAAGCTGAAATTTCGAATAATATTCGATAGTCGAATAACGAAATTTTTCCATTTTCGAATAATATGCAAAAGCCGAATATTCGAAAATCACATTGAATATTCAGAGATTCGAAGAATTCAATATTCGAAAATTCGATATCCATACGGGATTCAAAAGTTAGCGCTCCTACGATGTCTTTTGCCAACTTTTGGATAATATTCTGTAAGGCTGGCTTCAGCTTACATTCACAGCAAAAGCGGATCACCCATGCTTTTTATTATTATGTGATTAAAATAGGATTTATAGCATATAGGGCAACTGCTAAAAAAGACGTTTAAAAGAAACTTCTCTATATCTAAAAATTTGTGTGTCAGACTTATACATGTGCTGATTTTACTACGCAACATTTCATGGGTTATCCAAGCCTTTCAGAAGTGTAATCACGTTTTTGAGAAGCATGGAAAAACAACTGCGTAGTTGGCATAACTTGTGAAAAAAGCATTATGGTTGATTGCAAATTTTATATCTAAAGTGAGTGACTCCAAAAGTCAGATGTAAAATTTTCGGTTTTTTTTCATTCTTAGCAAAATACTGATCACCGTCTTAAACTTCAATTATTCTACGGTAATCCTACAAAAGTGAAGAACATACTTACACCCTGTATATCAATCTACAACTCCGAATGGAGGTTATAGATGTTTGGATATTCCTCGCCCGGTAACCTGAACAGTATGCAAGACGAGACGTTTTTGTATGTTGCACTAGTTACTCGATTTCACTACTCAGGGGCACCACGGTTCAAGGATAACCTTCTGCAAAATTCTAAAAATTTCTTCACAACCGTATAAGAGTAAGTTTTCTACTCAGGTCTCTTGATGTCTTCCTAACAAAGAAAGTATGTTTATTCGTAGTGGCCTTTTTAGATGTATTGTAAACCCCATTGGAGGGCATAAATTTCTGACTCC